CTTACAGCGGGTAATGAACAAGTTGATGGCATGGAAGATTTCCTCCTTAGTTTTTGATTTCAAGAAGAATATAAAGCTCATTCGAGTGAATTCATCGATTATTAACATGAAATATGAGTAGTTGAAGATACAAGGTATTCGAATGATTCCACTGAGGTCTATATGGATGTTGTCTAGGGGATAACGACTAAGGGGTTTTGTACCAGAGAAAGGGAGTTTGGTCGATTTTGTCAATCTGCAGGTATCACAGTTGTTATCTAGACTTCCGGTTGTTTCGATCGTTTTCTTCAGATAGTCTTGGTTAGCATGGCCTAATCGGTTGTGTGCTGTTTTGACGTCAATGATGTTAGCTTCATTTGGCCCCTTTTGAAGATTGATTTGGAAATTGCTAACCGGCTCAATCCTGACTACCATGAGGTTGTTGACGTATCGTCCTTCTAGAAATATCTCGCCGTCGAATGAGATCTGGAATTTTGACGGGTCATTGGGGTCTTGAACTTCAGTGGCCCCTTTTCTTTTGAGGGCACCCGCGGCAATGAGGTTGTTGCGGATGTTTGGGATGTACAGTGATTCTCGGAGTGTGAATTTGTCGACGGATACTCCTTTGATCACGACTTCTCCGACGGCTTCCACATTGAGTTCTTCGGATCCAGCTGTCATTATGGATTCGAGCTTCTTGGAATTGTTCTTGACGTTGGAGAAGAATCGGAAATCGTTGAACATGTGGCTTGATGCGCCGGTGTCCCAGATAGCTTCGAATTTCGAATGGACTAGATTGGCTTCATGACCGTAGGCGACGAAGACGTAATCATTTTTCTTCTTTGGTACGACTTGGGTGAAGAAAACTTCACCTTGGGATTTCTGAGCAGGTGGGCTTGAGTGTTGATTGTTGGACTCGGTGTTGTGGGCGTTAGGCGGTGTGAGGCCTCGCTGTTCGAACCATTCTCTTTGAGCGTCAGCATTTTCTGGACGTTGAAAGCATTTGTTGGCTGGGTGCGGACCAAGGCATCGTGACAGGGTGCATTTCTGTCGAGGTCCTGTTTGTTTGGGCTTGGAGGTGTTGTTGGCGAGTTTGAGATTGCTCATTCCGGTGTTGATCTTGCTGGAATTGTAGAATGAGAATTCTAAGTTCTCATCCTCATACTGTTTGAGAGCGTCGATGACTGCGCGTGTGGTGATTGGTTTCACCGTTCGGAGAATTGTTCTGACTTCATTGTTGTGGGTGTCGCTTAAAGAATGGAGAAGTCTTCTGCCGAGTTGGGCTTCGTTGATATGCCCTCCTCGGTTAGCTAGCTCGCTTTTGAGTTTGGAGAAAGCATCGATGTGTGCGGTGATTGAGGTCTTGAAATCTTGAGTGAATTTCTCTATCTTGGATTGGATGAGGTATAGGTTTGCCTTGTTATCCGATTGGTGAAAAGTTTTTATTGCGGTCCAGAGGTGAGCTGGTCCTTTGACGGATTCGGGAATCTGGCGAATGATCTGTTCGGTTTCCTCGTCTTCATCTTCTTCTTCCACATCTACGATCGGTATGACTATATCGTTGTATGCGGCTCGGAATCTGGTAGAGTTGTCGGAATCCATTCTTGAGTACAGGAACTCAAGGATGCATCGTCTATTGATGTTGTTGACGTCGTGTGATACGCCGTTGTCTTCATAAAACTTATCGACTACGTAACCGTGAAGGAAAAGGATTTCTAACGATCCGAGTATTTGTCGCGACCAGACCATGAAGTTGCTGTCGGTGAGTGACTCTATTCCTTTGATTTTGTTCAGAGTACCCGATAGTCCGAAAGCATGGGCTTGATCATTGCTGAGGATCATTCCTCCGCGGTGGGATGCATTTTTGATCGCATTTTTTTGGATCTCAATGACTGGATCGACGGCTTGTGGCATGTTGATTTAACTTTCGATCTGAAAGCTCTCGCTACCATGTAATGATGGCACAACTTGCGCACGAAACCTGATGATGATAATAATTATGAGTCTGAGTTGTTTGCCAATAACAACGAAGACACCTTAGATCACACACACCTGATGATGATAATAATTATGAGTCTGAGTTGTTTGCCAATAACAACGAAGACACCTTAGATCACACACACCTGCACGAGCGTAGCGAGTGATTTAGTTTAGGAATAAATTTTTATGTTGGAAGGACACGCGAGAGATAATTAGTTTCTCTTTCTTCACTTGCAATGTGTTTTGAGCGTGTATTACTTTTTAATATGATAGAGAAAAATAAAGAATGAAAAACAAAGTCACACCTGATGATGATAATAATTATGAGTCTGAGTTGTTTGCCAATAACAACGAAGACACCTTAGATCACACACACCTATTAGAGAAAGAGATGACAGAAGAAAAGATAACATGATTGTTAGAAAAGAAATGATCGGTGAATCAAAGTAGAAGAGAAATAGTTTGATCAATGAGAGAAAATAAGAGATGAGTGCATACCTGCACGAGCGTAGCGAGTGATTTAGTTTAGGAATAAATTTTTATGTTGGAAGGACACGCGAGAGATAATCTGAAAGTAGTGAAACAAACAAGGAAGAAATAGTTAAAGAGAAAAAATAGTGTTAGTCCTGATTTCGAAGTTTTGATGAGGTTTCTGACGATATGGGTTGTGACTTACTAGTTTCTCTTTCTTCACTTGCAATGTGTTTTGAGCGTGTGAAGAAAGGGAAACTAGCGTTTGCGGTTGCGGGCGGTGGTTTTATGGGTGAATCGAGGGATGGATTAGGTTAGGTCTAGTGTTCTGAGGAGAGTGAAAATTGCGCTTGAGTTTTTGCATGACTGCGTATCCTGTATACGCAGTTGTGCAAACTCGTATTCTAACAATTTTTTGCTTTTATTATTTCATATTCATTTTTTGGGACCTATTATGCACCACCTGACCAAGTCTCATGATTTCAAATTTGTGGTTTGGAGCTCTGGAATCCAAAATAAGCAGCCACTTTTCACTGTCTAGGCACTGTACAAACAAACAATCTCTAGTCCTGGCTGATACCAATTCTGAGATATCTAGAACCAAATCAATAGTTGCATTGACAAAAAGTTGGCAAGTGATGTTCAATTGGACCAAGAAGATCCATTTAGATTCAGCGAACTTTAAATATGTACTTGCAAGTTATTTTTAGGAGTCCTTTACTCATTGGAATCTTCCCACTCTTTGTGTCAGGATCACCAATAAGTAAGTCATTCCTTCAAGTTCAGCTTGCATCTTTCTGCTAAGGGGTAAAGAAAATATGAATAAATTATGTCTGGCAAAGTATGCATTCATAGAGGGATGGAAGATTAAATGTATGGGTCTAATCTATATGGTCCTATTTCTCTATATTCTGTTATGTTATGGTATCTGTCTCTGTTGTTGTATGTTATGGTATCTGTCTCTGTTGGTGTATGTATTGTTGTATGTAATGTTGTCTATATTCTGTATGGGGGGTACAAGTGGAAGAAGGACTACTTATATACTCTAAGATACAAATGAGCACAGAATGTGGCAATTCTGGTTATGAGAAAGAAATGTACATATGTAGAAATAAGGGATGAGAAATCTAAACAGAAAGCAAGGATGAGTAAAGGGGAGCAAACCCAAAGAGGAGAAAGGCTGTGAAAGAGTGTACTATTGTTATTCTGAAGGGTACACATGAAATAATGAGTGTAAAGAAAGTATCTGAGAAAATATCTGATATATGTAATGAGAAACAACTGCTGTGTCAGACACTGAGACACTAGCCCAGGTGTCTACAATAGAATGTAACCCCTTTGGGTTACATAAAAATTATTATTATATGTAATCTGTAAGTTAATAATTATAAAGTAGTGTTATCCTCTTTTATATGTATCACTTATGTTAATAAATATTTAGTAAATTAATAAAGATTTACCTCTTTATTAATTTACCTATTTCCTGAAAGTTATACTCAAGTTGAAAAGTAAAATTATATTTTATGATTATCAAAGAGATTATTATCCTGTGTATCTCTGTTGAAAAGACTTATATTCCAGTTTATCTCTCTTATGTGTATCTTCTGAAATAAGAGAGATTTTCCTCACATGTACTTTAATCATTTATAATCATTCTTGCCATGTTCCTTTCTTTCTTTCTCTCAGCACTTCCACTCCCCCAAAATGAATATCAAAGCTTTTGAAAAAAATCGAGTTTATTTTTTATTTTTCACAAATTTTCAAACTTTATTTTTTGCTTTTATTATTCCATATTCATTTTTTTGGAGCTATTACGCACCACCTGACCAAGTCTCATGACTTCAAGTTTGTGTTTCAGAGCTCTGGAATCCAAAATAAGCAGTCACTTTTCACTGTCTACCCACTGTACTCAGGTACCTGTTCAATATTTCAAGAGAATAGGGAGCAAGTACCGCACCTGGCACCGCCGGGCGGTACCGGCAGTAATTTTGGCGGGTACCAGTGGTACTTGCTCTCTTTTTCTCAATTAGTTTCACTCACAGAGTCCCAAGTCACTTGATTATATTTTATTTTCATATTTATTGTAAAATATCTACAACTAATTGGAAGAATCTTACTTTTTTCATATTTATTGTAAAATATCAGTCCCAAGTCTATATACTATCTCATTATATTTTCTCATGTCATCTTCTTTTATTTTCAATTCAATTCACTTGATTTTGATTTTTGTTTGACATCATCAGCTTTGTCTTCTTCATCTCATCCAGCTTCTTCTTTTTTCACAAATTTCTTCCTTCTTCTTCCTTCTTTGTTTTTGTGTTCTTGAAATGTTGATTGTTCATCATTATCATCATCATCATCATCATCATCATCATCATCATCATCATCATCATCATCATCATCATCATCATCATCATATTCCTTACCCCCATATCAACCAACCACTCACTCTTTTTTTTCTTCTCATTTCCTTATATGGGTTTTATTCACATGTTCTCTAGAAACTTATCTTGTCTCTTTTTGTCTTCTTCTTCTTCTTTTCCCTCCTTCTTTTTTCTTTTGTTTACTTTATGAAAAACAACGTTAAGGCAACCATTCTAGCATTCAAACTTGCACAAGCCAGAATCTTAGATTCCAAGAGGAAGTTTGAAGAAGCGAGCAAGAAGTACCACAAGATCAGTTTCACGGCCAACTTGGACAAAGAAGAGCAAGAGAGCTGTTTATTGCCCGCAGTTGTCTGTGGAGTCTTGGCCCCAGCAGGACCAAATCGGAATCGGCTTTTGACAAACTTGTTCCAAGATGAAAGGAGTGTGAACTTGCTGGATTACAAGATCTTGTCAAAGATGGCCTTGGGACCAATTATTCAAGACAATGAGAATGAGATGGTTGAGTTTGAGAAGCATTTGAAAGCTCATCAATTAGCTAAACTGTCCAATATGCTGGAAGTTTTGGATGATGAGGAAGAGAATTCAGCAGCAAAGATGATGATCACAACAGAAAGAAGGCCATTAAAGAAAGGTCCAGAGAACATGTTCAACTGGGTGGTGATGCAACACAACTTGTTACCAGTCTCGAGGATCTACAATCCAATCAGCTTTAAAGGTTGAGGCAATCTAGTTGGGCTGACCTTGAAGGCCATCAAGATCATGGCCCGGACAATGATCCAGGAGAACAGACTGAAGGCCTTGATCAACCGGGTCAACAAGTTGATCACCTTCAAGAATCCCAGCAATGCCTTGGAGGAGGATGTTGTTGTTGGCAACGTTGCCGCCGCTTCTATTGGTAACAAAAACAATTATACTCTTAACTTGTCCAAAAAAGATCAGTGGAGCCCCCCTATGTTTGTTAACAATATAAGGTGGTACCCGTAGCAGTCGGCGAATCTGGCAACACCAAGTGATGAGCCAATGCATAATCACAACGTAAATCTTTGTTACCAAGCAATGAAATATCCTCACCCTTCCTTACCTCATGCATACCAGGGATCCTGGGATATACCTGCTTACTGTCAAAGTCCTCTTGCCGCCAAGTAAGGCCCTGGTGTTTGCTCTACAAGACCCAGGGAGAGAGCATACATACCTCCTGGTAAATGCTATGGGGGGTATGCTCATTGAAATTTATTAAAAGATGTTCACCAACGAGGCAACATCCTTTCTTGCTGCTTGTCGGGGACAGGATCTTGTTCAGGAAGAGTCCTCCCTGGTACACTGTGTTGTGAGTTGTATTTTAAGTTTGTTTCAAAGAGGTCTCCTTCAACAAGGTACAAGGTCCTGGTACCTTTTCACCAACCAGATAAGATTCCTCCCTAACAAACAGACCGGCCGCCTGCCGGGGAGGAATTTTTTTGAATGAAAAGGTATTATAAACTTTGATGCCTCCCTGGCAAGCAGTGAAGTACACCCACTGGCCAAACAAAGTCCAAAAAGCTGGAATATCTGAACAATGTTTCTATGGCTGTTCTGATTGACACCATTTGTAACAGCTACATTGGGATTGAAGTCTTAATTATGTATTTATGCTGTACTTTGTGTTGCCATATTCAGTCTGGCTACCGGTAGCAGTACCCAGGTACCGCCTGTGTTTTTGCCCACAAATAGACACCCGGCACCGCCTGGCAGGTGGGGGGCGGTTGCAGGCAGTACCCTCCAGGCGGTGCTAGGTACCTAGCGGCCGGTACCAATGAACAATCTCTAGCCAGGCCCAAATTTCTAAGATTGAGACATTGCTTATTCATCACAGCCACAGCCATATCTCAAAAATCTTCAAGAGGAGTCTTGCAAGTGTTGAATGTGACTGAACAGGACTTTGGCTGCTTGAAATTAACTGGAATCAGTCCTTTTTGTCCTCTTTTAGGTGGACTGCGGGTGAAAAAATTCAAATGAACAAAAAAACCTTTGATGTCACAACCAGCTCCTGCTGATTCAGCGCAAATTTTGTCATCCTCAGGAGTCAGGACAGAACTTAGTGTGCTAAGAGGTAGGATGAGAGAATTGATTCCATCTACTCTGTCTTGAGCATTGATCATTGGGTGTGCCACAGGTTGAACTGACTCATCTAGGCCTTTCTGAACACATAAACACACACACACACACACACCCAACTTCTGGAGGAACAGCAGCTAGGGAGAAACTTGCTGTGAGTATCTTCCATTTCACTGCAATCATCATTTGTAAATCCTATGCCAAGGGCAAAGTGAATTGCAAAACAATGAGCAAAAGATTGCATGCAAGAACACCCATGAATGTGATTTGAATTTGTGGGCCCACTTCACAGGGAGAGGAAAGAGACACAAAATTAGTAGAGAATGTTCAATATTCAATTCCAACAAGAAGTATAAAAGAATGACAATCAAGTAAGTGGATTGGTTTTTTTCAAGAAAACTATTTTACAAGCAGTATTATGGAAAATAAGAACAGCAATCTGATGATATCTATGTACACAGCCCCCAAAAACATTTTTGAATGTCTGGGTTTATGATAAGATTGTGATAATTTAAAGCTGGGAGTTCTGATACAAGGAGAACTCATATATATGTGCATAGAAGAACAGGACTGAAAAAGGATGTAGATTGGGAGAGACAAGGGGGAAAAATAGAAGCGGATGATAAAGAGAATGAGGTGTTTCTTTTCTTTTTTTGTCATTGTCTAGCAAGAGAGAGTTGGAGGTTAGTTAGCTTTACGAGAAGCAAACATGGCGAAGTAGATCTTTTGGGCAAGTTCAGGACTGGCTTGTTGGACCACCTGCAGCACTCTTTGGACCACGTTGCGGTTCTTGACTTGGGACAGACCACCCGCAAAATTACTGGATGAAAGCAAAAGAAAAAAGTTAGTGTTTGTCTCATATGATACTCAGCCACTTCTGATGCACTAACCCGACTAAATTGCTCTTCTGTTCGGGTGACAGGTTGTCGTAGAAGTACCTTGGCTGTTCGAAATCGATTGGAGCAATCTAAGACGAACGATGATCAAAGATCAGCTAAATGAGACAATATCCTCATATTGTTTGAATATAAGACATACCTGACTGAGGTAGCGAATCGCTCCACTTTTCCAGATTGTGTGGTTATCGTTATTGTAAGCTCTTGGGACTACAGCCAGATGAGCGTAGCTGGCATCAAAAGCCGGTCGGTTTCCTTGGTCACCCAGGTATGAGGATGCTCCATCACGTTGATAGTTAGCTGGCAGGCAAAAAATTGTCATCCAAGTTAGGTGCTTTGACCAGCGAAGATAAAAGAAGGGGCAGAATATAAATACACACCGACGGCGCTCAGAGGACAGTTGACGGGGATCTGTTGATAATTTGCTCCGAGTCGGTATCGCTGAACAACCCAAAGAGAAAGTGTCAGACACGCAAGCTTGTAAAACATGACGTCTGATCAATGGTTGTTTATGAAGCTTACCTGGGCATCGGTGTAAGCGAAGAGACGCATTTGCAACACCGGGTCATCGCTGGGCTCCCATCCATCGATGATGTTACTAGGGGTGAAAGCAGCTTGCTCGACCTGGTAAATATACGAAAATCAGTTCTTGGACTGTCAGGCAAGAAATTGTTGTTGACAAAGTGGATGATCTTCTTACCTCGGCAAAGTAGTTGGTGGGGTTCTATATAGTTTGCGAAGGACAAAGTAAATTGAGTTAGTCCAAGAGCAGGTAAAGAATGGGTGATCATTACTTGCCTGGGTCAACTCGACTTTTCCGATCTCATTGAGAGGCACAAGGTCCTCCCTCCATTCCTCTGTAGCAAGAAAAAACAGAAAATATCCAATTCGAGTATAAGTTCTTAAACTTTCGTGGAAATTGATTATTTTTGAAGCTCAATAGTCGTACTTGTAAGGTCCAAGACGTTATAACGGAATTTCTCAGCATCTCTAGGAGTCATGACTTGCGCGTAAACTTTCCATCCGGGTCTTTCACCAGCTTGGATACTCTCGAAGAGTTCCTGCGAGTACGGCGAAAAAAGGGTCGTAATCATAAGCAATGATAATCACAATAATAATGAAGGACGCTAACAAACCTGCGATGCTTGTCCTGGATTTTGAATTGAGCCTTGCTCAGCAGCGGTATAATTGTAGTTCCCTTGAAGGCTCTTGAAGGTTATCTGTAAAAATGGACCAAGCCTCATTAATGTGCATGACGAGAAAATGGCAAGGGTCAATAGCTAGGACGAACTTTGACGTATACCCACGATCCTGTTATCAAACACACAAAAGAAAGGAGGATTATGTTAGATTTTCCTCTCGCTGGTACCAACTGCAGTTGAAAAACTTGACTGACCGTCTTGTTTGACCCATTTATAGACGTGCCCACTGAATGCGTCGGTCTTGAGCCAACCTGATGATGAAATATGAGGAGTGAGTTTAGCAATCTAATTCTCAAGCTGGATTGAGCATACCTTGGGAAGTCCCAGCGTCGGATAGAAAACGGAGGTATTGGGGCAAAGCCCTCGGCATTGGGAACCGAGATAATCGCTTCATAGACAATCCTCAAAAGACATCAGAACTGATTGAGAAACGCAGGATGACATATTATGACTTACAAGGTCGCATCCGGGTCGTGTCGTCCGGTTTGAGTGTTCGTACTCAAGGCTTGAATCAAGAGAGGAAACTTTGCCGGGTCACGAACTATGGAAAAAATGTAGAATCATTAACTATCAATTAAAGTACTACGAAGAGGGAAAGGGAAGGAACCCACTGAAAAAGATCGGAGAATTGTTCACTGAGAAAGTTGAAATTTTCATTTTATTTTTGGTCAGTTTTGGAATACGGATGATCGCAGCTGGAGCCACACAAAGAGTCTGATGAACATACTAGTCAAATCCCAGTTTCCTTTAGGAGTCCGAAACCTATGGAAAAAGACCAATAAAATGGAATGAGGATCCATATTGCCATCTTAAAAAAATCTAGACGAACTTGACGGCGAATCCCCGGACGTTACGGCCAGTATCGAAGCTACCTTTTTCGCCTCCGGCGTTGGAGAAGCGCATAGTGAGCGGGGTAGTTTGACCGACTACCGATGTCAGAAAGAAGGAAGAGCCAAAGGATGTATCATGAATAGATTAGAGCCCCGAGCATCCGAATGGAAATAAATAAAGAAAATAAGGTAACTAAAATGTGTATTTTACCTCTTTGGAAAAGACTCATCATCGTGTATCGACTGGGCAAAGTCGGTCGTCGTCGTGAAGATACCGTGAGCGCCGGCTGTGATTGAAAAGCAAAAAATGTTCATGAACCTCGATCAATTGATAGATAAGGAGCAGGTATTGAAAGGATGGCTTTGTCTTACCACCAAGAGCATGGACGACCCGATCAGGGATATTTTTGCGGTTGAAGTGCGCCTGGTTATCGATCAGATGGGAGTCCTGAAGCAACAGTGGGCCTAGAGACGGAGGAGAGATGGAAGATTATGAGCAGAGAGAACGGCGAAGAAGAGGCTTAAGACAAACCATCAACACCGATCCTCTGAGCGGCGAGCGGGGTGGCATACGGCTGGCCGTTGGCGGCGGTGTAAACGAGGGCCTCGGCGGGAAGATGGGAGGCTTGGACCTGGTTATTCATCGCGGCCTCGAAGATAGTTTGCTGGGATTGGCGAGAACGGAGCTTCTCGTTGGCGGATGGCGAGTGGGCCATTGACGGCCAGCCGGCCACACAGCATGCCAACACGAGACACGCGCCCATGGAAAGTGGACCAAGTTGGGTCCGGTTGAGCATATTGTTTATGTTATTGGGGTATGTAAGGGAATGAAAAGGTTTGTATTTTAGATACTTTTGCTCTTGTTGTTGAGGACAGAATGAGAGAGAGATAGATATTGTTGGGTGAGGAGAGAGGGGAGGGGAGGGGAGGAGGGCGATGGAGGAGAAGAATGTCTCCTCAAGAGCTCCGGCTTATATAGACCATGAATGCTGACCAAGGCAAGGGTCAGTGAGCAAGTGGAGACTTTAGCCTGATCACTTGATATTGCTATCTGTAGTTGACTGGGAGTCTAGAAAAGAGAAATGGCCCAGCTGACCCATTAATACATACAAGAAAGACGGGAGGCCATCCCTGATTCTGAACCGGTCCACATCGCGCAAAGAGCCCGAGTGTCGACAGAGAAAACCACAGTGTGGTCGTATCTAGTCGAGCCGGATTTCGAAGTGGGCTGAGCGATTCACTCTCCGCTGCCCAATCCAGTAGGATTTGCCCCCCCTTCCTTCTGCAACGACCAGCCACGGCCATCCAGCTCCTACAAGACCTCTCCCTTTTTTTTTCGTCCAACACCCGAATCACCACTCGGACTGAAAGACTCGGTCGTCTCTGAGGGGGAAGGGAGGAGGCAGGAGTCAGGACCATCATCCAGACCGACGTATGCAAGTCTACTAAACCAATCCTTGTAGGAGCTAGAAATTGCAGTACATATCTTTCTTTCTTGCAAAAAAAAAAAATAAGAGAAATTCCCGCTCGGTTGGGTTGGTTGATGATTGTTGGAAAAAAATCGCTCCATTCCGAGAGTCTCGTAGTCGTTCAACCAACACCTCCTGCAAGTTCCGAGCTGATCCGAACACTTTCCAGAGCGATTCCCCTAAGTCTTTGAGGACCGAGTGGTCAGTCTAACATGCTGGAAGCTCCTCTGCGGTATTAATGGCTATGAGGCCGGTCATGAGCAGAGAGCAGATTGAGAATATTCGGAGTTGCCATATAAACCTACGACGGACCAGCCGGTCCGAGGCTCATGTCTGTGAGACTCTGCTTGTCTCCCGTGGCGGCGTGTCTGGCCGGTGACCGAACGCCGAGCCGGAAGGCCGGGGCCGGCAAATGCCAATCATTGTCGACGATGTCTGTTTCCGCTCCTTGGCGCGTGTCGCAACTCGGCTCCCTGTTGAGGCTCTTCCATTCCGGCGTGTTTGTATTCGCGCCGCCCATTCTCTTCCTTCGACCGGTGACGCTCCTTAGTATTGTGAGGTTCATCGTCCTCAGTTCGGAGTGAAGTGTTCGCTGCTTCGAGAATCGAAAACGAATGCTTTTATTCACGTGAAGGATCTCTTGATGGAATATGTATTACAATCTGGAGATTTCCACAATGATGTCATCGACATAAGCTTGATAAGCTTCAGTGAATAAAGGACGGGTAATTATTTTGATTGCAAATTGCAATTCTTTAACATCCTGGCTTATCAGCTTTAAAGTTGTGTATGAAAACTCCGGCTTGCTGTTCGTCCAACGTCTAATGGTAAATTGGATCTTCAACCAACATCAGCGCAAGGATCTTCAGCTTTAGGACGGGCCACTTGAACTTCTCCCGCAGACGCGAAGAACCTGCAGTGTGGTGGACTCGATCTTGACAAGAGCACTCCTCCAACTTAAAATCTCGAGATTTTGAGAGCACCACCTCAACCAACCCAGCTCAGCCAGCTCTGCAAAATAATATTGAATTGTCTACTTCTTCCACCACATATTCCCTCCTCATGACCAGTCATCAACCAATTTATCATCTACCCAGCGATATCCCATCAAAAGTCAGCGATCACCGTCGGAGTTGTGTGTAGGTTAACTGGCGAGCGGATTCTTGATATTTGAAACTGCAACGATCTCCAGAAACCCACAATCTGTACATAAACCGAACGACCAACATCAACAAAAACAACAGATTGCTTCAAAAGCGTCCTCGGAGACTCTTCGTACCAACGATGGTCTGCAGGAAAGATACCCTTATTTTCGTATACGTATCCCGAAAGTCCTCATGAACTTGTGGATGAATCTCTTGCCGAGAAGTTCTTACATATTTACATAGTGGTCAAGAAGTCGGGCGAGAGGCCTCACAGTGGATGGTCAAGAAGAGCACATGGTTCTTTTGGGTGGGGCATCATCCCAACAGCAACTCGAACAATCCTTGATGTTAATTATACATACCTCCTTCCCCGGGGACACACGTTGATGCAGACATAGCATTGCCCCGTCTCAAGTGCCAGCTGGGGGGTTTCGTCGAGACTTCAACAGAACAATTCAAGACTTGAGACTTCCTCCGGGATTCCTCTGCAAGACTTGTCTTGAAGTTTCTTGGTCTGACTCACTTCAACTCACCAGTAATCAGCTATGTGTAGCTCTCCTTGATCTTCTGCTGCCATCATCTGATTCGGTGAGTGCCTCATCATCAGACGTCAGTCATTAGACTTGTTTAAAGAACCTTGTTCAGCCGGGGGAGGAGGACTCTGGAGAGTTTGATTTATGTACAAAACAAATCATTCGCTGCGTCTTCCCACCCTTCTCTGATCTACCATCTTTCTCTCCCACCACTTCACAATCAAGACCGCTTCGGATCATCCAACATCAGCTCACTCACTCAACAACAGTAACACAAGATTGGGTACACAAATGACTGGCTGCTTCTACATAAATAATAAGCTGTTATAAAAGGTAACGAGGTCTACTCTTTAACCCTCTAGATTTAAACTTCAGACTGATGCTAACACTCAGCCGTTCCGTTGTCGTTGGGCGTATGTTATAGACTGAGATTATATATATGCCCCCTTGACTACATCGAACCTGCAGATCAAGCACTCGACCAGAGACCGTCCGGAGTTTGTTGGCATCATCCATCCCAGCCAGCACACACTCTCCTCAACAACAACAGCAGCAGCAACTTGACTTCGGAACTCGACGCCGTGAGCCAATCCTTGCCTTCCTCTTCCTTCTTCTTCTTCCATTCCCTTCTTCCACATACCATCCACCCACTCCCTCGTCGACTCGCGATCAGTTTCACAGCGGCTCTCATATCTTCACCCTTCGTCGGCGTTTCCAAAAACAACAACAATAACAAACACCATGCATGGATGTACATAGATCGGCTGGCTTGTGTTAGTTTTACTCCATCGCCCGTCGTCAAGAGCTTGCACATACACACACTCCTCTTCAAGAATAATACCCTAATTCATCCTTCACCCTTTGCCAACACACACTCATTCACACCCTTTCCTTTCCTTTTTTAGTTCCCTTTTAGGCTACACTCAACAGATACACATCCTAGCTCGTAAGACTCACAGCTATACATACTGTTGCCAAGCTCCGAAAGCATAAACCGCCGATTGTGGCCTGCCAGCGCTGCTCACGCCCCCGCCAGGATTTGGGTCTGCCATTAATTCAGGATGGTCCAGCCATTCGACCAGTCAGTCGCACCACCGCTACTAACCCCGAACGAACGCTTCCAACAACAACCATCCGCACCACATCGGTTACCGTCGTCATACAGGGAACCTTTATCTTCTTCTTCAAGTCAGCAGCAAGGACCCTCGCTACAACAACCAGGAAGAGTCGTCCAGCCCGACTGTCGGTTTAGCGATCACTACAACCACCACCACCCTCAACCTGCCGCTCAGCTCAACTCCATCTGCTCCCCACCTCCGCCTCGCTCTTCCTCTAAAGCTCATCACCACCACCACCATCTTCTCCTGCATCAGCAACAACAACAGCTGCTGGCCAACTCTCCTTCATCTGAAGACCCGATCATCCAAGTTGATGATCCGCTCCTCAAACCTCCCCAACACCTCCAGCTTCCCAACCCCAACATGGCTTCCATGGCTTCCCCTGATTCATACCGGAAGGAACACATCACTCTCAACCAGCCACAGTATCTGAACCCCGTCATCAGCTATCGAAGTGCCGCTTCCAGTCCGACCGTCATCGGCCAATCATCCGCCGAGAAGATCTCGTTATCCCCGCAACAACAGCAGCAACCTATCAATCCCTCCCTATCCTCTAATCTCTCCCCTCCTGGCCCTAAGCTGAAGCTCCATCAACGCGTCGTCAGGGCTATCAAACAAGAAGCCTCCGAATGCAAACAGGCCGCACTCGAAATCGTCCACTTCGTCAAACACCACGATTGGAAAAAAACCATCAGAACTGCCTTCCAACGCAAGTATTGGGGCTGGTGGTTGCTTCTTCTCGTCGTTCTTATCCTCAGCTCTCTCCTGAGCTCATACGTCAGTCTCCCTCTCCCATCACATCATTTCAATTTGTTTACTTAATCATACTCATCTTTTATTTATTTCTCTCTGGCATTGATAGCATACTACGGTAGCCTTGTATCTTAAGCCCTATCAAGCTCAGATCAAGGATGCATCATGGTCATGGATCGTTCCTACGGTTCTATTGATTATCGTCTCATTTCCGCCGTTGTTTGGACACGAGCTAATCAGTAAGCAAATAATCCAAAAAGGGGAAAAAGGAAAGAGAAAGAGATGACTGATTCTGAGGTGGATGATCACAGTTCTTGTAGCAGGGATGATATGGGGCCTATGGATCGGCTTCGCGATAGCCTGTGCGGGCACATTCCTAGGAGAGATCATGACGTACTATGCGTTCAAACACCTGATCAGCGAGCGGTCGGCGCGAGTGGAAGCGGGCTCAGTGACGTATGCGTCGCTGGCAAAGCTGATGCGGGAAGGCGGACTGACGATGGTGATCCTGGTTCGGGCGTCGGCGATGCCCGGACATGTATGCACGGCGATGCAAGCGACGATCGGGATCGGGGTCTGGGTGTTCACCATTGCCTGTCTCGTCACCCTCCCCAAACAATTCGCCCTCGTCTATGTAGGCGTGCTTCTCGGCGACCCCGGCTTGGACCCCAAAGACCCTCTAGGTGTCCAGTCATCTCCCTCTTCCTCCAAACACGACGCCGAAAATCAGGAACATCATAGAGTCTCCGCCGCCGTCTTCCTTCTCACCGGCTTCTTCACCCTCATCTCCGCCTACATCGTGTGGATGAGACTGCGCAAGATTCGGCCTCAAGTCCAACAAGAATTCGAGGCCCGTAAATTGGCCCAAAACGGTCTTCCTCCTCTTCCTTCTCTGGATCATCTTGATCGTCTTGATCAGCATCATCATCAAGAATCGCTCAATCTTTCCGAAAAACCCGCCCAGCTCGACAAGCATCCTTTCTACCAAAATTCTGCACCCGATACTCAGACCCCTGCCCCCGTTTATTCTCCCGCGTCGGCTGTGTAAGACTTTCTTAAACAAAAAGTCTTCTTGTTCTTCTTTTCGATTTATCCTTATCGTCTCTCCTTCTCTCTTCCCAACTCCCCTTTTCCGAACTCTCACAACCCCACGAAAAGAAAAAAAAGCTTGAAAGATTCTCCGAAATCGGCGTCGGGATTCTTCGTCATCCCCTATGCACCAACTACCCGCTCATTTAAAACTCAAGAAAGAAGATAACACAAAATTGATCATTTGAAATCAAATAAAAAAAAAGCAGATGATTGATCTTCACGAGAATCTTTGCCCTCATAAATCCCCCCTCATCTCCCCCACTTCTCTTAATCCGTCCATCCTCCGTCTTTCCCATCTACCTTCGACCCCCTTCGTTGAAGAGATGGCCGCTCAAAAGCTCTGATTTACAACCCCCTCGCCCCTCAAGATGGATGTATGTATCATAGATGTGTGTATGTGTATGATGTATGTGTATGTGTGACTGTACATGTGCATAGACTTCATAGACTCTCTCTCGCTCTTTTTCTCTCTCTTTCTCTTCTCCTTTTTGCTCCGCTTGTTTGTGTGATGGGAATCATTCCTTGTATCTCTGTTGATCGCTATCCTACTTCTGCTTCGTCCCGCCTCATTCTCTCCACCACTTCTGCCTTTTTTCCCCTCCTTTTTTCCATTTTTTTTTGCTTTTTCTTTGGTATCTTTGTCTTATGTACTCTTGTCTCTGAACAGAACTTCCCCCGGCCATCCATTTACCTGCACATACATACAAACATACACATACATACATACATACACTGGTCCTCCACCCTCCTCTTCTCTCCCCACCACTATCTCTACATTTTTTACCCTTGTTCTATATCCTCCTTACACATCTGAATCTCTCATAGATATATATATATATATAAATATGTATGTATGTATGTATGCTGGATATATATATTACTTAGTACTATTAATTGCCACATCTTCCCTCAATAATAATCGTAACCTTCATCATCATCATTTATTTGAACCATCCAACTGCTCTTCATTGAGGTACTACTACGCTACACTATGCTAAATGAGCCACTAACCTCAGTGTAGTGGCCCTCAAAAGGGTGCCCTAAACCTGTAGTGTTAGCCTGTTGTTGGGGCCACTATGCTATGGTATGCTGCCCTGCATTTAGCGGTAAAATGGCCCACCAACCAATAAAATGCGCTGTGGGGTGCCCTTTTTTGTGGCCCATGCGCGCATAGCATTAGCACAGTCATGGTGGAATTCTGCTGGGCTATGTTATGCTAAATGTGAGCAGAATTCTGCCACATTACGCTGTGTTAACACTACCGTTTGGGTAGTTTTCCTTCCTACCCTACTGGTTTAGAATAAACCTTAAGCAACACTGGGTCTCTACTTTACGCTGCGCTATCTGCATTATCTCAGTAATGTAGTGCACTTGATTCCTTCCCTGATACATTAACATTATCTGTAGTGGTAAAATTTTCTTTCAGCCAGTAGTGTAATGGTGAAGTTTTTGTGTGTAATGAATGGATAAAGTAGTGCATTATCAGATTATCCAGATGTTAAGCAACCCTAAACACATTTTAAGTGGCAGAAAGCCTCTCATTTGAGCTTTGGCAGCAACACATGCCATGAATGTCTAGAAAGTATCACATGTCTTGCCAATATTTATGGTTTTTTTTTTTATGGAAAAAAATCTACAATTTGCTGATAGTGTAATGAGCATGAAAAAAAAACCGAGGCAAAATGGATAATGTAATTTGCAAAAAATTTCCGAACATTATGGGGAAAGTAATGATAATGAGTGGAAATTCACTACTTTATCTTTACACTACCATTACAGGTAATGTAATTACCCAGTGTTGCCTTAAGTTAAGGGGGTAGTTGAGTTACTTGGTTGATCTTGAGTGGTGTTCTTTGATCAGTATGAGTCAAACAGGGGTTGGATTTTATTGGGGTGGTGGAACGGTTGCTTTTGGGCTGCTGATGTTGCTGCTCATTGTTGCAGCTCGGGTGTGGAAAGAATTAAGGTGCACCCTAGGGGATTTCTTGGACTTCTCTTCTCCGCAACATGTCCTTCCTCCGGTTTGTTGTCCGGGGTAACTTGCTTGATGGTCTTATAGGTAGGTAAATAACTAATCTTTCTTCACTGTTTGGTTATAATACTCCAACTCTTTTCTATCTCTAACAATTCTTTAGTCTAATACACAATTCACTCCTAAGTCACTCTGTTTTTCTGATATGTTCTGAGTCATCCGTCCCCCCCTTCTCCCTCCAAACTCCTACTCCACCAGCTGTCCCACACACTTTCCCCCGCCCCCTACTTCCCATGCTGTCCTCCACTGTCACTCCCTTGCCCTCCGCTTGTCACCCCTCTGACACCCACCAGTCAATGTACTACTCTGGCCGCTATTCAGACAGATATCCCACTGCCGCTTCCACCTCTGATCCAGCCGCGCCAAACCCCACTTCTGCCTCTCGGTGCCCCCTGCTCCCTCTTAGCCCCTCCGCAGTATACGCTAACCCCAGTCTGCAGTCGGCCATGAACCCCAAAGTCCACCAGTGCCCAGATCCCCCACAGTAAGCTTTTGGAACCTTCTGAATTTGGCCCGCTTTTCCCGCACTTTCCCACGCCTTGGAAAGCTAGACTTTCTGCTTATGCGCCACAGCTTTCCTCAGCCTGCGCATGTAGGGTCAGCTCCACATGATTTCCTTGTCAGCCGCGTGCATTCCGCACCTGCCCAAACAACTCAGCCAAAGCTTTGGCCCCAGTGTGCTCTCACCACCACACTGTTTGGTGGGCTTCTTCAGGGGTGAGGGTGGGTTGGGTTGGGGCAAAAAAATGCCAACCCAACCTGCCCCAAAAATAAATGGGTCAGTTCAGGTTGGGTTACTTTTTCAAAAACTTCCGCCCCGCCCCAACCCAAGACCCACAACTTGGGTCATGGGTTGACCCATGGGGCTACCATTATTTTTCTTTTTTGAGGCAGAGGTTTTTTTTTAGGTGGAGGGTTTTTTTTTGGGGGGGGGGGGCAAGATGCCTTCTTCTTTGAATCATTTAACAAGTGTATATATTTGGAGAGAAAGATTAAGAAACAAAGAAAGGTGAATGGAGAAGAGAGAAAAATAATAAAAGAAATACAACTAGATCCATCATTGGCCAGCTACTTTGGTTGATTGTACTATCATTGTTCATGTCTCAGATTGGGACTTGGGAGTTGTAACTCCCGTGTGTCAATAACTCAGCATGCCAGGCAAGTTTCAACAAAAGTATGCATGTTGAACCTTGGCCTCCTCATGGGTCGACCCATGGGTAGTCCATTTTTGGAAAAGCCTGACCCAACCCACCATGGGTCACCTCGTGGGCCGACCCAACTGGGTCAAAAAATTGGGAAATCCGGGCTTGTGCCGCCCCACCCCGACCCAGATTCCAGCTGGGTTGGGTTGAACCGTGGGTCGACCCAACCCATCCTCACCCCTAGGCTTCTTCCTTGGAAATTTCTTGGCTTGTAACCTGTCTTTTTACGTAAGATGGATGGGTTGGTTGGGCTTGATTTGGATGTAAATGATCAGACCATTCAAGGTGTGTTGGTTTTGACTCTTGAGGAAGATTGGAACAATCAGGAGCAGGCCTTGCTTGTATGACCGGGGTATATATACAGAATTGTGAGTGAATATTTTTTTTTGATTGTTGTTATTATACATATTGTTGATTTACATATGTAAGGCTGAAGGGTTTGATAACGCTTGTAACAGTGGGTCCACATGAGGGTCTTGATAAGAGGTGTGGCCATAGATCTGAGCCTCTGAGGCAAGAATTGGGTGCATAAATTGGTATGTCTAATGTTCAGACAGTTCTTGCTGATATGTACCTTAATGCAAGGTTCTATGGGGAAAGGCTTTGAGATTCTTCATAATTGATTGCTCATGGAAGGAACTGGGACAGTATACTGCATGAAGCTGATTGCTGACACATTTGAGAACATCAATACTTCAATCTTTGTAGCAGACTCAGAACTGCAATCCATCTTGCAGACTTGCTACTACCATATACACAGAGTCAAGCTGAGCTGCAATCTTTTCATAAATAATACAATATCAAACTTGAATTATCAACTCACACCAGGGGAAATCTCAGGGCACTGGACTGCCAGTGACTGCAATTCACCAATATTTCATTCAAAGGGGCTCAAAAAGTAATTTGGCTGTAAAATGCAATTCTCATTATATTCACAAAGCCAGAAAATGAGTTGACTTTGTTTTTCACGGAAGTAGAAAATGAATTCACTCATAATATAATATGAAGTTCACTTGAATTTCCTCCAGAACTTATTTTTTGATTCACTGGAAATTGTATTTTTTTTCTCATGATATGATAATATTGAAGGGCCATCTGCAAGAATTGCACAATCTGCAGACCCTGCAGATTTGACTTAGGCCTTGAAGGCCCGTTGTGAGTCTGATTTTTTTGGGCTAAAGATGATGTTGTGAAGTGGAAAGAGTGATTGTTAACAATCCTTTCCTCAACTCGATTGTCAATTATTGAGACTAAACTAGAGCCCAATGATTGACAATCATCATCATTCAGAATCATGACATCATCTATGTCATTCCCTTTTTCACAAGCTTTTTGCTTGGTTGAAGATACACAATCTTTAAGCTCTATAAATTATCAGATTTGTTGGATATGCTTATAGACTAGTCTGTATGCTTCTATCAAAACTCAGTTTGTATATAGTCTATGCTGTCTTCAATCCAGACTCCTTTCCTCACTGAATCTAAAACTACTTTTATCTTTGTTTTCAGTCATCTGTTACAAGACTCACGTCTGTGACTCTCAGCTCCCAGCCTGGTCCACCTCAACAAGATGTACATGATCAGTATGAAATTTATTCTTTCTAGGTAGCTTACAATCCAATTTTGAAGCTTACCTTCTGCTCTCCTCTTTTGAGGGCTATTTTGATGAATGGGATTCCAACAGAAACATCAGAGCCTTCTATATTGCAATGGATCACCTCACTTGTCAAAAATTGCTCTGACTGTCTGGGGAATTGAGAACCACCCCTTGTGTATTCTTGTGCTTAGGCCTGTCCTAGCATATATCTAAAGTGCATCAAAGGAAAACACAAGTTTAATTATTCAATTGTGTTCCAGCCTTTCAAGCGCAGCAACCACATTGAGCATATTCTAGTCCCTGTCAAGCTCAAGAAGAATAAATCAGAGGCCCATGGCCAAATATGTCTACAAGGTCTTCAAAGCTCAGCCCACCCAAGGCTTTGTTGTTGTGCTTACACTTTGTGGAACTCTTTGTGTGGCTCTGACAGCTTGATAGGTCCAGGGCCTTTGGTTCCAAATTATCTGACATCAAAGAAACCAAAGCCAACTTTTTAACAGTTCCTCAATCTCATCTTATTTTTTTAACCTCAAATAAGCAAGTCCTTGGCTTTGATTAAACCTTTATTGAAAATTATGGTCAAAAGTGTACAGACACTCCACAATCACAAAATATACAAATCAATGCCAAGTCCACCCCTCAATTTCTTGTCATAGACTGCCCTCATTTTAACAGCCCCATATCCCAAGCCTTGGGAATCTGCAGACATGGGACAACCTGCTTCTAAGCTCATATTATTGGAGATGTGCATCAGAAATTTGTGATAAAAGATGGGTCGCTGTAATTTTACAAACTATTTTTTACAAGACATATGTCTTGTAAACCGGATAGTTTGTAAAATTCACTTACCCATTAAAAGATTCTTGGCAACCCCTACACTGGAGAGCAGGAGGTGATATGCTTTGGAAAGTGACTAAAAAAAATGCTCCTCACATGGTGTAATTCAGGATGCAAGTGGGTTGGGTCGACCCGCCGGGTACCCGCGACCCGGCGGGTCATGGGGCGGGTTTGAGCAGGCTAGGGTTGGAAATTGACCCGACCCGGATTTAACCCGATGGGTTGGTGGGGCGGGTATGGTCAGGACTAAATGTATTTGGGTTGGCTTGAGATTGACCAAATTACTTGAGTGAAAAGAAAGAAAGTGATTTTTTGCTGGGTTGACCCAGACCCGACCCAAGACCCGACCTGACCCGACCCAAGGCACGGTGTATTTGGGCCGGGTTCGGTCAACATTTTACGATTTTTGCCCCAACCCGCCCCACCCCGAAGATTTGGCGGGGCGGGTTTGGTCACTGTTTTTTGACCCAAACCCGGACCACTTGGATCCTGAGGTGTAATATCATCATTGTGAAGATATCAAAGTGGCCAACCAGAGAGTTGAAATTGAATCTCATGTTTGGTCTGGCATCAATTTCAATAATGGCAAGACATTCCAAACACCCAACACATCCCTTAATCAACAAGAGCCAAATTGCTTTACCAATTGGGTTCACAGATGGTTGATTCTCAAAGATGTGGGCCAATTGATTCTCTGGTCCATCTGTTGGAGGCCTTTGAGGGCTGTGTTCAAGGGCATCATGCCTCGTTGGAAGCTGGCTATCTTCACAGAGACGTATCTACTAACAACATCATGATTTACAATCAGAAAGACGATCTGGATCAAAAGTCCTTCCTAATTGACCTACATAGATGTGGCAATTGCCTACCCTATACTAATAGAAGAATAACACTACAAAAGAGCCCGCACCAAAACCTTGACATGTGTCAATTAGTTTGCTTCAGAAAATGAGCTTGTGGATGATTTGGAATCATTTCTTTGGGGCCCTGATGTGAATTTGCATTTATTATCCTGAAAAAGATAGGCAAAACTCTGATCTCACAAGCTGGAAAGATATTTGCCTGAGGTACATATATGGCCAACATCAAGCAGAACCACCTTGATGGGCCTGAATGCCTTACAGCCAACTTCACACACCTTGATACAAAGCATTTAAGCCTCTCACTGACTGTGGAAACAAGTTTGCTGAAATGATGTGTGGTCCCATTGTCATATCTAAGCAGGCCAAGACACTTCATGGTGATGTACTAGAAATTTTCCAAAAGGCTCAAGGAAAACCAAACAAAGGAAAATCAGGCATTTCCACGTATTAAGTAGGTACTGTTTTTCCTCCACCTTGTTTGGCTGGCCCATGACCTATCATTCCTATAAGGATGCTTTTGCTTCATTCCCATATCACCATTGCTCCCCCCTGCCCACCCATTGATGACCAATCCCCCTGTGGATGTAAGTGATTCTTCTTCCTTTTGATAAATATCTTTCCCCTTTTTTCCCCTAAACAATCTCAAATCATTGGAACAGTGTTTCATTTTTCGATAACAGAAACCTCCTATCCCACCTGTGTACATCACATGATTATAATACACTTGTCTTCTTACTATCATGCCACCTGCAATCATCATCCAGTCTATTTATTGTCCATTTCATTATACTTTTTTTTTTTTGAGTCATGGTAGATAATGTGCCCCTATTTGCATGTATGTACTTGAGAGGACACTGGTGTTTTTGTTGTCACAAAAGCCAACACAACCCCATTGTTTTTTTTTAGCGGTTGTGGTTCAAGTGTGATGATCAGCTCGCTGATCAATGTTGATCTTGACCTCAGAGCAACAGTGGGCCGCTACGCTACACTACGCTACACTACGCTACACTACGCTATTTGACCACTAACTGTTAGTGTAGTGGCCTTTTTATTTCCTGGAAATCCTGTAGTGTTAGCTGACGCTAAACCCCACTACGCTAACTGTTAGTGTAGTGGCCTTTTTATTTCCTGGAAATCCTGTAGTGTTAGCTGACGCTAAACCCCACTACGCTAACTGTTAGTGTAGTGTAAATTTTTCTCTCAAATTTTTTTAGTAGTGTTAGCTTCAAATGATCTCAGCTAAACTAACAGTCAGTGTAACTTTTTTTGCGCTAACAAAATTTTGACTGTCAGATAGTGTAACTGATTTGAAGCTAACATTTAGTGTAACTTATACCAAATTAAGCTACGCTACACTACACTACATGCCTAGTTACGCTACGCTACAGTAGAAGTTACACTACACATGTAGTGTAGTGTAAATCATCAATTAGAGAAACTGACATGTCAAGTGAGAATTTATGCTGTTGAACCCTCTTCCTCTGCTTTCTGTTTTCAATGGACAAGTTGTGTGAACTGTCCATATAACTGATACAGCCGAGGTCCATAGTGACAATTTTAAATGTCCTATGATCACACACAATCCCGCAGATAATGAACAGCACAAGATGCAGAGACAAACAAACAGAGGATGTGCCTGGTGAGATTTGAACTCACAACCTCAGCAATGCTGAGTCACATACCAGAGTGCTTCCTTTACCAACTAGGCTACAGACCCTTGTGGTTGTATTAAGGTTATTTGGGTGGTAGTTGCCATGGTTCATGCCAACAGCTCCACCACACTCTGGTGATACATCATGGTTACACCTCAACCCCCCCCGCCCCCCCTTGCTACATGATGTGAAAGTGGAAATTGAACAAGTGTGGGAATGGAGCCCAGTAAAGTCTGATCTGAGGGGGAATTGAACCCATAATCTCAAGGTAGTCTGACAGGGGAATGTGGTCTTACAAGTAAGTGTTAAAAATTGGCAGGGGGCTAAAATTGAGTGGCCCCCATTACCAACTGAAAAAAAATGATGATCAATTGAGGGGATCTGGATGTAGGCCCCCCAATCAGGCACTGTCTTCAGGGTATACTAATGCTAGTCATGTGGTCAAGTAACTTTTAATCAGTTACGCTAACAGTTAGTGTAACTTTTTCACCAGTTACACTAACAGTTAGGGTAACTTTTTCACCAGTTACGCTAACAGTTAGTGTAACTGAGGGTACCACTACACTAACTGTTAGTGTAACTTTGCAAAAAGTAACACTAACATGTAGTGTAGTGGGTTCACCCACTAACACCACTAAAATTTCACTAACAGGATTTTGGGTAGTGTTAGTTGTGCCTTTTTAAAAGTAGCTAACACTACGCTAAAGTTTTTTTTGTTTTTTCAAAAATCCTGTAGTGTTAGTGGGCCAAAAATTCCCGCTAACGGTAACTTTTTTGTAGTGTAGCTTAAAAAGCTAACACTACGCTGCACTAACACTATGGTTAGTGTAACTGGCCCACCGTTGCTCAGAGTCAGACAAGACACAGATGGAGCACTAGAATCAACTTGGTAGGTCCGCATGAGTGTAAGCCATGTTGGCAATTTCAATGATCTATTGGCATCCACAGCCAAGTGTGCACACACATCCATCTTTCTTATGACAAAAAAAACATTCTTTGTTGACTCTCTTTTTTGTTCAGGTCTACTAATCAACCTCCTCATGATTTGTCAATTTTTTTTCTTATAAACTTTTTTTTGATCACTAGCAATGCATCAAGAAAAGGATAAAATAAAAAATGATCACTAAAATTATGGAGAGATTACAGGTTTTGATTTGATATGATCCTAACAGTTCAGTTTCAAAGAAGATAAACTGATTATAAAAAAAAACACGCCGTTGTCGTCCACGAGGAACACGGGTTTATGGAATGAATACGATCTTGACAGAGTTCGAGGTGGATGAGTACGAGTCATGGATCGTGACGGCGAGAGGATCCGCTCATGTGCTGTCTAATCCTCTCCCGATCGCCCTCCCGATCGCGATCCCTCTCACGGTCGCGTTTCAGGGAGCCTTTAGGATTCAGATGGGAGGTGGAGGAAGACGAAGGATGATGACGGGCCTGTTCGAATTCGATGTTGGAGCGCTTATTGGATGCTTGGTTTGACCTTTGCTTCTCTTTCTCGTCTGCCAGAGATTGTTGTAATTGACCTGCACAGATCGATTTTCCATGTATCACATCCAACACAACCAGTTTATTAGAGATGAAATAAAAAAAGGGACTTAGAGAGAGAATGAGAGAATGAAGTATATCTAGGTACGTAGCGAGTCAGCCTGAGCCGAGTCAGGGAACCCTCGAGGGTCCCAGAAGGTGGGCTCGAAGTTAGTAGAGCATTCGTGGAGGCTGAGGAACTCGACTAGTTTGGTATAGATGTTCGGGTTCCTGTAGGATTTGCTTTGGACGAGGTTGTCGTTGAAGTAGATTCCTTGTTCTCGTAAGGCTTTGAATCTGGTGATCTTGTTCTGGAAATCATTTTATGTTTCTTATGATCAGTGTCTGTTTCATTTTGTTTCTCGGATGGGAGATGCTGACGTACTTGTAGGTCTGGGTCGATCTTGGTCTCTTCTGTCTGTTCTTGTTCTTCTCGTTTCTCTTCGTGGGTTGTTGGTTCTTCTCGTGCTTGTTCTGTGTTCATGATTGGTTGTGTTTTGGTTGGTTCTGTTCCTCCCACTGCCTACATATTTCTCTCAGATGTATGAGGTTTCCGATCCGGGCCTCCTCCGGGTTCCAGGTACGGCCATCCCTATGATCAAGGGCCGTTTTGTGAGGAGATCCGATCGGATACGTAAACCCGATCAGATTATCCGGTACAGTCATATTGAATACATATATTCATTATGCAAAATTTTCATGTGTCCCCCTCTGCATACATACCAAGATTTTTTTTTTTTTCTTTTGTCAAGAACTTCAACACTCTTCAAAAAGAAGAAGAAGAAGATGATGATCACCAACAGAACGAAGAAGAAACTACTAACAACAAGAACAAGAACAAGAATACTCTCATACCAAACAACAACAACAAGAAGAAGACTAAACAACCACCCAACAAGAACAAGAACAAGAACAAGAACCAGCACTATTTCGAATCAGCCTTCCATCAAGGAAACCTCCCGAGCTACCTTCAGACCACCACTCCCACCAACAACGAGCACCACAACCGGAAGACAGAGCAAGAACCACCAACCCAAGATCGACTACAGCCAATTCAACAATGGATTCAACTCATCACGCTCTCAGGACCAACTCAGCCAACTCACAGTCTCCATCGCCATCGGCGACCTCCAACGAGCCCAATCGATCATCCTCGAAATCGAACGAAGCTTGGGATATCTGAGAACTAAAGCATTCTTCCAGACTAATAATACTCTCAACGAACTCCTCAAACTGAATAAGCACTTCAACGAACCTTTGGTCCAGAGGGATCCCAACGACCATCATCTGCCCACCCTCAACCAAATCATCCATCCTTCCATCTTCAGCTCTCTCCTCAGAAGGACCCTCGTCCAAGCTATCAAACAGGAATCTCTCGGAAACCTCAACCATGCTCACATCCTCCAATCTCATCTCTTCCATTGGCTCCTCAACTTCAAACTTAATGGCCCCCATTGGGCCCAGGTCGATCATCATCTTATGGCTGGCGTTCTTAAAGGTGTCTTATTGTAATTCACAAAAACAACACACAGAATAATAATAAAAAAATCAATCCATCAATCACTCCATTCATTTCTATCTATTTTATATACTAATCAAGTGGGGATTTCTTTTTTTTTTTCAGTTTGAAAGATCCGATTTATAGTGTCTTGGATTACATGCCATGGATCCTGCCTTCTTCAGCAGACCAAACAAAGAAATACCAGCCGCCGAGTACCACGAGTCTCCCGCCGACCCTGTTGAACGTGCTGGATTCGATCACCTTTATGATTTCCCAGACCAAGTCGTTCTTCGGCTCTCTGGACAAACATCAGGCGCTTGAGCGGATCAAGGAGCAGGCTATGAAAGAGGGAAGACAGGACGTGTTGGATGAGGTCGAGGTCGTCGAACGGCACTGGAATGCTGGTCCTTCTACCTCACCCAATCCCGCTAGCCTGGACAATCCATCTGGTGTAAACTCAGATCTGCCTATACCTTTACATCCGGTCAGGAAAGTAAGTCCTTGATCCGCCATGTTTGTCAAAAAAAAAAAATGTTGATGTTTGGATCCTGTTATTAGCCATCCAAGTCGACAGATGATCCGAGTAAGGAAAGAGAGATCCCCATGCGTCTTTCACATCTACTATCAAACGTCTCAACAATCCCAGAATCGGCGACCCAAAGCTTCACGACGGGATATGATCGGCAGATGGTACTAGAGTATGCGGGTTATGATTCGGCGGAAGCGGAATGGTTCGAAGGACACAAGGAGATCAAGGAGCGAGGGATAGGGTTCACCAATGGCGAAGGGGGGCAGGTATTACAGGCATGGATGTGGGAATGGTGGGCGGCGTTGAAAGAATGGTTTGACGAGCTCGAGGTAGATGACCAGTCGGGAAACATCCTGGATGCCAAGAAGGAGACGGTTGCGACGGATCTTCGGTTCATCAAAGTTCTGCAAAACTCGTTGATTGCCAAAGTGGCGGTGGTGGAGGTGATCAGGGAGATGGGCAACAGCACGATCAACGACGGGGCCAAGTCGATCGGCCTGTTCATTGCACTAGGGAAGGCGATCGAGAACGAATGGTATGCCCAGACCATCAAGGCCATCCCTGAACTCAACCAGAAACTTCTCGCCGCTATCAAGACACTCAATCAAGAGAACCTCGACGCAACCGCTAGTCGCTCCGTCGACCATACCGTCCGCAAAATCTGGAAATCGGAACTCAAGAACTATCAGGCCGATTTGCAAGCTATCCATGGTGATAACTTCGATTGGACGATCCAACAACGCTCAAAAGTCGGCGCTTTGGTCATGCGTGGCTTGCTGGAAACTTCGAAGATCACAAGAAGTACCGTACTTGAAGATGGATCAGTCTAGTCAGTCTTTAATTTTTTCTTCTTGAAGACAAAAAATGATTGACTGATGTTTTGTTTTTCTTGTACATGTATATATGTTTAGTGAGGAAGTCCAACCGGCGTTTTACCAAACGACGCAATACTTTGATGGAAAAAGAGTCGGTGTGACGAAGATGAACGAAGCGGTAGCGGAAAGACTAGACTTGGACCCGGCGAATGTGAGCTTACATCCGCGGTACCTGCCGATGGTGTGCCGGCCGATGCCATGGACGCACCCGAAGAACGGGGCCTATCTGGTGCACGGGGCGCCGCTGATGCGGACCCGCGACTCGCCCGAACAGGCCCTCCATCTGCTCGAGGCCCATCGGTTCCACGGCCTCGAGAACGTCTATAAGGCCCTCGATAAGCTCGGCAATACTCCCTGGAATATCAATCGTCCCGTCTTCGATACTATGTCCACCGTCTGGAATCAGGGCATCCAACTCGCTGGAATCCCTATCCGAGATCCTCATCTTAACCTCAAACCCGATCAGATCGAGAAACTCTTCTTCTCTCCTCCTCCTTCTTCCACTACTCCTGCCTCTGATGATGAGCATCATGATCAACTCGAGAATCAGTCTTCTTCTTCTTCTCAACTCGAAAATCCTAGATCTGAAGGCGAGAAAAAGGAGATCTACAGAAGCTTGTTGGCTAGTAGAAGGTCCGCTTATGGACAACGTTGTTCGGTCAATTATCAATTAGAAATCGCCAGAGCTGTTAGTTTCTTCTCTTTCACAACAAAAAAGAGAAAGAAAAAAAAACTAATGAAAGGATTGATTTTAGTATTTAAATGAGACGTTTTACTTTCCACACAACATTGACTTCCGAGGCCGAGCGTATCCGATTCCAGCGAACTTGAACCACATAGGAGACGATATTTCTCGCGGATTATTGAAGTTTGCGGAAGAGAAAGAGCTAGGCGAGGATGGTTTACGGTGGTTAAAGATCCATCTCTCGAATAAGTATGGGAATGATAAGGCCAGTCTGGATGATCGGGCGAAGTTTATCGAGGAACGATTGGAGTTGGTCTTCGATTCTGCTGATCGACCATTAGAGGTTAGTCTATGAAAGCTTTTTCCTTTCTTGTGAGGAGAGAGTATGAGGATTGACAGGAAATAAATGTAGGGAAAACGATGGTGGTTAGAGTCAGAAGATCCATGGCAAACGTTAGCGGGCTGTATGGAGCTAACGGCGGCCCTGCGGAGCCCGGATCCGACGGCCTATCGGTCGAGCCTGCCGGTGCACCAAGACGGCTCTTGCAACGGACTGCAACATTATGCCGCCTTGGGCGGCGACATCGATGGCGGGAAGGAGGTCAACCTCGTCCCGGGCGAGAAGCCCGGAGACGTCTACTCCAAGGTCGCCGTCGAGGTCGCCAAACTCGTCGACTTCGACGCCGCTAATGGTCATGATATCGCTAAGGCGCTTAAAGGTCATATCAAACGCAAAGTCGTCAAACAAACTGTTCGTCTCTCTTTTCTTTTCCTTCCCCTTTACTTGTTTTTTTTTTCCCCCCCTTGTTATGTGGGCTTGGACACTGAGAGTTTGGAGGTGTTTTATAGGTCATGACGACTGTTTATGGTCAGTCTTGTATCTTTTTTTTTCTCGTTGGGAAAGATTGGATCGTTGAACTGATCAGAAATGTTCTGCACAAAATTAACAGGCGTTACTTTTGTCGGAGCTCGAGAACAGATCAAGAGACAATTAAAAGATCTGGGCGTGATTCCGATTCCTAATCTATACATCTCAGCGGCCTATGTAGCTACTCTTGTAAGTGTATATCTTCCATCCCTCTTCAGCTGATTCTTTTTTTTTTCGAACAGAAATGAGAAGTTTTTTTTTTTTGATTGATTGAATGTAATCATGTGTGTGTTTGTATAGGTGTTGAGGTCGATAGGAGAAGTGTTCAAAGGCGCCGTAGCGATCCAAAAATGGCTGACGATAGTAGCCCGCTTAGTGTCGAAATCGATCCCGCCTGAACGCGTGGAATCCTTAACTACTTCACCAAGCACAGCTAAGAAACAGAAGGAGGGCGAAGGGGCGGAGGGGGTGGCGAAGACGAAGAAGCCGAGACCGGTCAAGAGGAAATTGCCCGGCTCTTCTTCGGCCGCCCATGATCCCGACGTCGAGGTCGAGTTGATGACTTCTATGACCTGGACAACTCCCTTAGGATTAGTCGTTTGTCAACCGTATCGGGCCCAAAATCGGACCCAAGTCAGTCCTCCCCTCCCTTCCTTCCTTCCCTTTTGATAATGTGTTTCTGACATCGGGAGGGGTTTTTTTTGGTGGGGATTGTTAGATTAAGACGGTGCTGCAAACCGTGTACATCGCCGATCCTTTCGAACCCGCTCAAGCTGATTCAAGGTCTCAAGCCTCGGCCTTTCCTCCTAATTTCATCCACAGCTTGGATGCTACTCACATGATGCTGACTGCGCTGGCCTGTCAAGTCTGTCTTCCCATCTTCTCCCTTCCTTAATAGTTGCTAACCCAAAAATTTGGGTATTTTTTGAAAAAAAAAGGATATTACGTTTGCGTCGGTTCATGATTCTTATTGGACTCATGCGTCCTCCGTCGATCATATGAACTCTAAACTGAGAGAATCCTTCGTCAGGTTACATACCACTCGAATCCTTGACAATTTAGTACAAGAAGTCTGGCCCCATTCTCTCTTTCTCTCTTTTTTCGATCGGAAAGCTTTTGTTTTTCTCAGTTTGTGTTCACATCACTGACCTGATTTTATTTCTTTGTGACGGGTGTCATTGCAGATTAAACATCGATACGAAGGGTACATGGTTCCCAAAAACGCACTCACTAGTCGGATGATTAATGAGCTTAAAGCAATGGGCATCGATCGTTTCAATAGTCCCTCTTCTTCTTCTACCACCACTTCTACCACCGCTTCTTCCTCCACTTCTTCTGCTTCAACTTCCACTTCTGATACAGATACGCAAACGGAAACGGATTCCAATAGTAATAAGGGAACAATAACCGGAAACTCAAGCGGAAAGTTCCTCGAACTTAATCAACTCATTCCTCCGCTTCCTCCCAGAGGTAACTTAAATATACAGGACGTCATTAAATCTAAATATTTCTTTGCTTGATTTCTTCCCTTTTTTTTATTTCTTTTATACTTCTCTTTTTTGAGGGGAGAGAGGGAAATCTTTTCTTTTCTCTTCTTTTCTCATTCTTTTTTTTTGATACCTATTCCTTTTAATTGGATGATCAAAAACAAAAACAAAAATGTGAATATCAATGTGTCATTGAAACAACTTGAATGACTAATTAAATCATGGAATTTTGCCGGCTCTTTCCCACTAATTACAGAAGACAACATGATTATTCCAGTGATTGCTGGACTCTGCAAACCCAAAACACTGCAAAAAAACATAAGCAAGTGCTGACAGCCAACATCCAATACTACAACACCACCTTTGTGATACATCTCATGCCAATTCCAAGCAATGGTGTCTTTTTTTTGCAGTGTCGATGTAACATCAATGACGATGTTGGTCTGCAAGCACATCCTCGTTAAATGAGCCACAACATCTGGATCATCAGTCAGTCATGTTTCTTGTTTGATAAACTGAGGGGACATGTGGAGGGGCTGATGACTGGATTGGGATCTGGGCCTGGATAAGGTGGGTTGAACTTGGACCTTGTTGTGGGAAGCGTTTGTGGGGGGTCTTCACCCGTTTGAGGACTTCAAACATCTTGAAACTCAAGTCATTCTCATCTGCAAAAGTTCAGAAAATGAAGACGGTCTAGTGCTTGGCAATCGGATTCTGGATATCAGAGCAGTATCAATCAGTTTGGTTGGCTTCTTTGTCTTGGATTACTCACTGTTTGTAGACAAGAAAAAAAAAAAAAACAGATGTGTGTCTAATTTGTGGGGAGAAAGCAACAGATAAAAGTGAGGGGAATCTTTCTCCGACCAAAAATGCAAAAGCTCCCAGGCGCCAAAAAACAGGTATCACCTGCAAGTCCCTCCTTCGGAGGTTGCGCTTTGTGCAAGGGCACTTCATGCCAGCCCTGTACTAGGGGCCTCTGAAGCGAGAGACTTGTGTTAAGTCAGGGAAACCTCGGGGAATCTGGTTTGTCACCCCCTAATAAACTTTACTGTTGGGCTTGACAGGGGCTGTATTAAGAAATCAAGGTCAACGGGAAGTCCTTTGGTGGATGTTTAATAAGGGAAACAACCAATGGTGGAGGACTTCTTGTCTCCGCTTAAAAGGCTATGATTGCCTCTCTTCATTCTTCATTAACATACCTATCACAAATCTGACCAGTGCTTATGGAAGCCATTGTTACCATGAACAAAAAAACAAACATGATCAATCTTTCTGAAAAAAAGGTGGATTTGCAGCATGTGAATTAAGAATCAAAATGCCTGTAAATCTGAAGGCAAGTCCTCCAAACAAAAGCATAAAAACAAGATCAATAACATACATACTGTAATCTACTCAGGTTCAAGATGATTATGAATGCTCAGTGAGACAGGCTTAAGTCAAAATAAATGAAATTCCAACACGTCACAACCAAATGAAAATGAATGTTCCAAGTGTCTCAAAAGAAGACAATGGGTGGTTTGTTCATGAAGGCGAGGAGTCAGATATAAGTGAGATTGGCTGAGAAAGTGAAATTAAGAAAATAAGGGACATGGTTGACAGAAAAGCCATTAATCATCAAAAGCCCAGTTGAAATAAGCCAGTTCTGATGGCTGATGACCTTGTTAACATTTCCTGATGGCAATCTATTTTTAGGATGGGTCTGGAATAATTTTGGGGACTCCAGACTATGTATACACTAATGTAAGTTTTCATAAGGGTTGATCATGAGTTGCTGATTATGAATTTTTGCCAATGACTGGCTATTTTGAGCTGGGTCAATGGGAAGGGAGTGGTTCAAGTTGTTTTGATTTAGAACTCAGATCCAGAATATCTTTATTAAACTGTGGCATGGATTTCTTTAGGAATTCAGTTAGCTCATCAATTCCAAAGAAGAACATATGGTTCAAAAATGTCTTTGTGTAAGATTTGATAGATTCCATATGTTTTGATGACAACTCATTCCAAATCTTGCTGTGGTTATTTTTCAGCCACAAATCTAAAATATGCCAAAGGATTTGATTGATGTTATTTTTTGGATTACAAAAACAACCCCTGATTGCAGAGATCTTTTCCTTCCAATTGTCTTCTATCTTCTGATCAAGGTTCCTCAAGGCCTCTTCAATCATCAGAAAGAATTTACCAGCTTTCTCCATTGTTGTGGTATAGTCAAAGTATTGTTGTTCATGTCCTTTTGGCCAAGTATTGAAAAGCATATCAAACATTTCAACATATAATATAAATACTGGGAAGATTTCTGGGAGATTCTCAAGTTCTACTTGTTTTTGGTAGCTTCTGAAATCTAGATTTGTTTTTTCCTTCCAGTATTGATACCACACCTTTTGATGAGATTTGAATTCATTCATTTTATTTTTGAGTCGCTGATCTCTTGATGTTACTATCCCACCCACTGGTCCTTTTTTATTCAAAAATTTACAGATTATATCAAACTGTTTTTTTTCTACCCTAACATCATCCTGGTCCAGTTGTGAAACTTCTTGAAGCATATTTTCCATGTAACATTTATATCCTGCATGCATATTTTGACATAATATAAAGTTTTCCAGTTTTAACTTTGGTGGAGATCTATGTTGTGTAGTCATTTGATTGATGCTACCAATGTTTTCAGGTGTTTTTGTATCCTGAATTTGTGAAAGACTTGTGCTGATACTTTTCATATGTACAAATTTATCCCCTCCTCCTTGTTGTTCAGTTTTGATCAAAGGGGTTGATGAGCTTTGGGAAATATTTGATTGTTCATCTCCACTTGACTTTCCTGACAAGTTTCTGCCACTGTTGGGGATGGAATTGGTCTTAGAATACTCTGAAAATTCATGATTTCTGATCCCCTGGAATGGTCTCTTATGAGATTGATCAGTTTGCTGCCAACTTAGAGAAGGAACTTCTACCAGATCATGACTCTTTCTTTTAAAACTTCTTTGGACAGATGGGGTTGATTGTGAGCTGATTACCTCAATAAGCTGGTCAATATTCATTAATTCAGATAGCAAATCATCATACATTGTTAATTGTGCTTGGTCTTCCCTGCCATTGCTTTTTCCAGAAATCTCCTGGTGGGCTACTGGTAATGTTGGCTGGATATTGTTTGAATGTGATATCTGGAATTGGGTATGGGTAAAAGCAGGTTGAGTCTCCTCAATGTTGAACATAGATTCTGGTTTACCTTCTTGATTTCTTACTTCTTCCAATGAAGATGGTGTACTAAAATAGGGTTTAGGATAACCTTCTTGATTCATTGCTTCAAATGAGGATGGTGTAGATGTAGTGTCTTGATTGGATTTGATCCAGGCATCAAATTTATCCAGGTCAAACATATCACCGGCTTGAAAGTCTGGCTCATAGTAGAGGTGAAGAAGTTGACCGGATTTATCTGCTTCCAATTGGTTGGATTCACTAGAAGAAATGCTGGCTTCCAAGTATTCCTTGTTTTTACCCTTTTTCTTTGGTTCATGGGTTTGTGACACTTCGCCGGTTTCCCCAGTTTCTCGATCAGACATTGGAGAAGCTATGTCATAGTCGATGTTGTGAGGGTGTTCAGGAAGACCAGCTTGGTAGTGTGTTGGGGTTCCTACGACCTGGCGGTGTTCTTCATGGTCACTTGGGTAAAATGAACGCGATAGGCCGTCTTCCCACATGTTGAAACAGTCGTTGGGTTGGTCGAATCCAACAGGATATTTGTAGTCTGATGCAGAAGGCTGAGTAGAGGAATCCAAAAGCCGTTCAACTGGATACAAGTCATAGTTCATACTGGCGATGATCTTGGCCAAAAGCACAACACATGGGCAGATGCCCCACTTCATTGTACCAGCTAATTATCTAAGCGCAGACAAACACAAGACTATCACAAGTTTCTGATTATTTTTCGGGATTTAGATATGAGCGAACCTCGAGGATTGTTCAAACGGCCGGATCCTCCTGAGACGGATAACAGGTTAACAACTCAGATAAGAAAAAGATGATTCGACCCCCCTTCCCTCAAAACCGTGGACCTTTTTGAAGCAGCTTGAAGACTTGCGGATTGCCTCGACCTGGAAACGCAACTTGGGCTCCACAAAACATGATCATCAAAACAGTGTGTACTGTTGCAAAAGCATGTCACACGCCGTGTATGTAAATATACGTGTTATTGATATATTTTCAACTTCAGCTTATCAAGACATTGTACCCGGCGAGGCAAGTCTGAACTTTTGCATACCGCACTTGATGGTATAACCCCTGGGGCGCTCTTGTGACCAAAAACAACGTCTCAATGACGATCCGAGGCTGTAAGCGTCCGTGTGATGCTAACCAGTGCGACACGGTGACTCTTGTCTGTAGGCGGAATTGACAGCGGATTTTGGGTTGTAATCCCATCATCAGTCTGTCCACCTAGCTAGGGGTCAAGACCAGCAGTTGCAACTGCACCTTGCTCCTGATGACGCTTATTTTAGAGCTCAATCTTTGTGGTCTAAACTTTTTTTGTGTGACTGTTGGACCCTACCATTTCTGTATGGCGGTTGGGTGTCCGCACCAAACGCCAATCTTTTTTTTGCTAACAATCGAGATGAAATACTATGTAACAATTCCGGGTTCTTACATTTTTTTGATGATAAATTAACGGGACAATCGAGGTGCAATACGGTTGATATCAGATGTTGTGTGAGGGTGGATTGGAGTGATGACCGAAGCTTAATGAGAACAAACATTTGGATGAAAAATTGATGGTAGAGGTACTGTTGGAAGCTGGCGAGGATTGTTAGTGTGTAGGAGATCCGGGAACTTGAAGTTAGGGACCCATGACGTATTCATCTTTTTACTATTTATCCTTTTTACCGGCGCAGGGTCTAGCCTTTGCTTCGACCGTCACTACATACATAGCCTGCTACTTTCGACTCCCAACTCCCCAAGATAACCTAAACACCGTTCCACCTTCGACCTCCCTAGCCTCAACCACCAACACCCTCGCTCGCATCAGACGAACTTCTTCTCAGCTCAGTCCAGTTGTCTTGCCCTCCAATCGATTGTGCCCACTACCAATGGCCCGAGTAAGATTTCTTCTCTGCTTCCTCTCTCTACACATAATTGCAGCTCAAATATTGATACCCATCTCTGTCCAACCTCTCAGAAGTCAAGCAGGAAATCACAAGCTACTCAAGCCAAAGACATTGACACTGAACGCGCTCGCTTTGAGATTCTCCACGCCGATCATAAGGATGCAGCCGAGTTATTTGATGATCTTTTAGAAACTGCTGGATGTAAGCAATGGCCGATTAGGAGCTATAGAACAGAAGCTGATCTTCTTGCACCCTCCTGATCACAAATCTGAAGTGGAAAAGGTCCGAGAACACAACAACCAACTGGACCGTGTTTTTCAGCTTTTGAAACTGGACCAGCGAGATCAAGGACGTGTCACAATGCTCTGGAAGGACTTTACCTCAGGTCGACAGGGAGGCTTTGCCCACCTCCAGGAGAGACTCAAACTCACCGATGAAGCTGATCAAGACAAAATCACTACACTGATCCGGTGCGCTCACTTCGTCCGATTCCCCTCGCTCAATCCTTCTGGATTGTCGAATGAAGAGATGCTTGCTGCAACTGAGGGCACCACCCCTCCCACCAAAAAAAAGGAACTCAGCGGGGCTGACAAAGCCGCTTGGTCAACCGCAATCGTCCAGAAAGGCTTCGGAGCAGAATATAAGGGACACGATCTTATTGTTCTCCCAACCCTGAAAACCCTCAGAGAATTTGCAGGCCTATGGCAGCAAAATAAGTACAAGGCACCCTACACTTCGATTGTCGGCCCGACCATGAGCGGAAAAACTCGATTACTCAAGGAGCTTGCAGCCCACGTGTGTGTAGTCTACATCTGTCTCCGAGATCAGAAATCCACTGGCCAGCCCCCTCGTTCCAAAATTGCAAGTTACTTCTTCCCACCAGAGCCACCAGATTCAGGCCTGCTCGACCACTATACTCACTTATTGGCTGCAATCCTCAACACGGTTTCTAAATTCTTTTCAAGGCCGGATATACTTCAAAAGGACTTCAAAGCTCGATTAACTGAGTGGTTTGGCTACAGTTTTCAAATGGACTCAACCTTGAAGAATGAATATAACGCCGACGTCGAAAACGAACTGAAACAGCTGCGGGAAAGTCCCTCAACGCCCGCCGAATCTCTCATCGCTGCGGTAAAAAAGGTGTCTAAAAGGCTTCAATACAAAGAGGACGGAGGGCTCAGGGTTCTGCTGGCGATAGACGAGGCCAGCAACTTGATCTATCCCATTGACACACAGCTCGAGATTTCATACTTTCATGTGCTTTGTCGGGCTTTATCAGAAATACCTTCCTCAAATGGGGTCTTTGGCCTCTTCACCGATACAACCTCGCGGGTCGCCAACTTCAACCCGGCCCTGAGTCGAGACAACAGCGCAAGGCACCACGGTCTTGGCTATCAATTATTTGCGCCAATCTACCAAATCTCATCATTTGATGTGTTTGTCCCAAAAGCACCGCCGAGCTCATGGAATGAATTGCTATCGCCAGAACGGCTCTTTAGCTATGGCTGCCCATTTTATGGGCTTTATTTCAAGGAAATAGTGAAGGAGAGACCAGAGACGGCCGTCGAAACCACGTCGTTGATTGCCGAGACAAAATTACTGCTGGACAGTCCATCGGCTTCTTCAGAATTGTCTGAATCGCAATGTTTTGCCATACTGGGCTCGTTGATCCAGACCCGGCTGACCTTACATTCGCCCATCAACTCGGAACTTGTTGCAAGTCACGCAGCACATTGCATGTTCATTGATTCAAATCGAGAATTGATTGTCAGCGAGTATCCCCCGCAGTTCGTCTATGCTTCAGCGGCCAACCGTGTTCTTGCATCCAACGAGACACATTGGATCAAGTGTATCAATGTTCTTACTTCTGCAGTGCAAAAAGGACTCGTTGCCCTCGGAGACGCTGGAGAGATGGCGACCAGAATAATATTGATACACGCTATGCAGAAAACCGAGGCAATTCCTTGTGACACTACCGATATGATCCCCAATGGATATTCAGTGCGATTGAAAGATTTCCTCCACACCTTGAGCGGGAAAGACCCACGTGAAATGGAGTTTGGCTACAAAGACAACAAAACGCAACCCTTGGGCAAAGACAACAAAACACAACTCTTGGAAAAAGGGCGAATATTTTTCAACCACTTTACCCGAATTTCATACACGCCCAGCGCAGCCGACTTTTTGGAGCTTTTGTACCGAGGTGTTGCGGTTCAATGCAAGAGTAGGCAACCTGGACTTGACGACCTTTTTCCCATCTATCTTGCACCCCCCACATCTGAATCTCCAGAGCTAAACCGCAGAAACATCACCTTTTGTGGTGTTCAAACAAAAAACCAGGCAGGTTACGTTGACTGGAAGCAGAGTCCCAACTGGTCAAAAAGTTATGCCAATATTGAAGGCATTGAAAATCCCTATCTCATTCTGTTATTCAGCTTGAGAACCGCTAGTCGTAGTGTCACGCCATGGACAAATCCGACATCCAATGACACCGGAAGAGTTTCTTACCAGTTTCTTGGTCTCGACGAAATCAACTGTCTTACCCCTAACATACGCTCTGCACTAGAGCGGTTGATTACCGCAATACCGGATGACTTACTGAAGCTTCACAATCAACCTGCTGAGGTGACCAAACAATGGCTCAAGCAATTGCACCCAGTCTTCTATCCCAGGGCTCCTGAGCAACTGACACCTGGGGTACCTGCAGCATCCCAACAACAACGCAAACGTCCCAAAACCGGTTCAAAAGGGAAGAAAAAGCCAAGGTCCCAAGGTGCATCCAAGCGAACCTGTGAGTTTTCTGTTTAATTGAACAGGCAAGCTAAAATACCGCCCAAGTCTATAAGATTCTCATTAGATTATGTGTTGCAGGACAAATCTTTCCAATTGGTCTGCAGCTCAGACACTCCCTCCCCCCGTTGGCTTTGGACAACCCTTTGCATCAAGTCTCAACTCTTACCAATCACTTCTGCTTTCATCAAATTCTCTTGCTTCTCTCTCATCTTCTGCACTATTCTTCTTTTCTTTGAACTGTCTCACTCTCTCTTTTCAACCTCCTTGTTCATTTCTTTTATCAGTCTCAAAATAACTCATTATTCTCATTCCATTTTATTATTCAACATGCTGCATTTAGTAACAAAAAAAAAAAACCACATGTGAGGTCAAAAATGTTTTGAGATCAGAACGGGATGACTTGGCTCAGCTTCATGAGGGCGCCAAAGACTGTTGAACTTATGCAGGCAGCAGGCCTTGCACTATAGTATGACTGCTTTTGCAGCCTTCTAACATGTGTGGAATTTAGTGGCAGATTCCAAAAATGAACCAGGATTTGATCAACCAAGTCAGAGAACTCACTCATTTCATCAACACTTGGATCCTTCTGTGCTTACTCACTGTGCGTTTATGACTGCCACTGCCAAATTACTAATTATGTATGATATAAATATCTTCAACATGCAATTGTGATATGGAGAAGACTCAGCAATACATGAGTCAGATGGGAACATTTCTGAGGTATCATCACCAGGGAAACATGATGTGAGATGTGATAAAGACAGTCAAGATGTGGTAAGAGAAAAGAAAGAATTCAAATATAACTATGATGACCAATACAAAGTAGTAACAAGACACATTTCTAACCCAAGCTGCAGTTGTCTTGCCTGAAAACAGAGGTGGTTCAACAAGCTGACTCACCCCAGTTGTTTCATTCAAATTTACCAAACTGTTTATATTTTTGGGGTTAGCTGTACTGATTGCATTGCCAGTGTTGACCCTGTTGTTTTCACCGTCTGAGTCTCTGAGACTGGGTTGTCAGTTGGATTAGAGAGGGATATCCATTTGAAATGAAGTGCTTCAAGCACAGGGAGTACCTGATCCTTTGAGTAGTTGCTGGATATTTTTTTGAATTTTTTTCAAATTAAAATTGCAATTTAAAGCAGTGGGGAGAAAATACACTGAATAAGTGGATTACCGTATTTGTATTGTCCCAAATTCTGAGACAATACAAATGTATTTTGAATTGTGTACTTGACGGCTGAGTACAATGTACTCGTATTGTATTTGTTGACCATGGTGATACAACTTACTCAAATACAGATGTACTCAAAACAAAATACAATACAATGTATTGCTGGTATGATATGTGTATTGTAATGGTTGTAGTGATGAATTTTGAAGCTGAGACCAGGGAAGTGGGGAGAAGAGCAGCGTGAACAACACGCTCAAGATTCTAGTCTTGAGGAAGAAAAACAAGGTTGAAGTACCACAAAAGAGGCTTAAGCTGCTAGCTTGTGTGGCGGAAAAGCACTCAAGCTACAGAAGATTGTATATCTTAGAGACCTCAGGGAAATGCACGCAGAAAGCAGACGAATTCCTTTTCTAACTCATTAGTATGACTGTTCATCTACATACACATGTGGGCTGAGTTGTGGGACAGAAGGTGAAAGGAATGCATATTCATCTGGACTATAAAAAAGGAGTGAAATTGGGAACAAAGAGACAACAGAATTCCAACATGTAGTTCTTGCCCTTGTATCCACCTGTGTTGCCACTGCCTTTGGCTTCTTGTTGCCTGTGCCCTTGGTTTTGCTGGCTGAAGTTGTACTGGCCCGTCAGGACAGGGCTGTAGCTCTGGTGTTGATTTTTCCTACATTATGAAATGTTTGAAATTTTATGGTAAAATCTAATTTGCACAAAAATCAACAGTTCATTTTTAATAATGAAATTAGAACCATTTGTTCACTTAATTCTTTACATCTTATTTCTCAATATTTTTTGACATTTTAAATTTATTTCCCACACTTTGAGACATGTTCAAAATGATGGTAGTGGTCAATTTGCATGAAAATGAAAAAAAACTCTTTCTTGAATATTGCATTGAACATGGTTTTTTGATCAATTTTTACAGGGTTATCATTCATTATTTTTTGGAATTTTAAATTGATTTCATTCATCTTGAGAGGTTTGAGAATTTATGGTCTCACCCATTTTGCATAGAAATAAAATTTGTATCGGGTAAGAATTATGCAAGAAATGGGGTAAGCTCATATATTAGAGTTAATCCTTCAATTTTTATGAAAAATGAATCATACCATTAATCTCTACACCTCTCAAAGTGTAGGAAATAAATTCAAAATTCCAAAAAATAATGAATGATAAGCCTGTAAAAATTAATTAAAAAGCCATGTCCAATGCAATGTTGAAGATAGAGTTTTGATTTTCATGCAAAGTGATTATTACCATTATTTTTAAAATGTCTCAAAGTGTGGGAAATAAATTTAAAATGTCAAAAAAGAATTAAAATTAAGCTCTAAAAATTTAAATGAAAAAATGGGTGTAATTTTATTATTACAAATGAACCATTCATTTTTATGAAAAATGGATTATACCTTTAAATTCTGCGCACATTAAAACCTGGGAAATAAATTTAAAATTACAAAAAAGCATAAAAAATAAGGTACAAACATCAATGCATACAATTAATTGGAAAAATGAGAGGAAAAAAAAAGGGTGTTAATAAAAAAATGCGGTAAATCCGCGTTTACACGCGGTTTCTGCTGCGCGCAGCACACGCGGATTCCGTGTTTGCACGTGGTTTTTTATTTAATTTTTTGTGGCTTATTTTTTGAGTTTTTTTTTTTTTAATTTTTAAAATTGTTTCCTAGGTTAAAAAATGTGCAGAATTTAATGGTAAAGTCCATTTTTCATAAAAATGACTTTTGATTATTAATTTTTTTTTTTCAACTCATTTTTTTGATTAATTGTTTGCAAACATGTTTGTACCTTATTTTTCATGCTTTTTTGAAATTTTAAAATTATTTCCTAGGTTTGAATACGTGTAAAATTTAATGGTAACATCCAATTTCCATAAAAATGAATGGTTCATTCTGAATAATACAATTACACCCATTTTTTCACTTAAATTTTTAGAGCTTAATTTCCATTAGTTTTTGACATTTTAAATTTTTTTCCTACACTTTGAGACATTTTCAAAATGATTGTAGGAACCATTTTACATGAAAATCAAATATTGTTATTGAATACTGTGTTGAACAGGTTTTTTTTATGTTTCTTTAATCAATTTTTACCGGCTTAATTATGATCTTTTTTTGAAATTTTAAATTTATTTCCTACAGTTAAAAAAGTTTATAATTCAATGGTGAAGTCCAATTTCCCTAAAAATAAAAGCTTCAATCTTAATACATGAGCGTAACTCATTTCTTGTATAATCTGTACTGTATACAGATTTTTTTTGAATGCAAAATGGATACAGCCATCAGTTTCAAAACCTTTCAAAATGTATGAAATGAACTTAAACTTCCATAAAATAAGGATAATTAAGTGTGCAAGAATTAATTAAAAAAACACGTCAAATGCAACATTCAAGAGCAATTTTTGGTTTTTATGCAAAATTAATGTTACCATCATTTTAAACCTGTCTTAAAGTCTGGGAAATAAATTTAAAATGTCAAAAAATATTGAGAAATAACATGTAAAGAATTAATTGAAAAAAGTGTCTAATGTCAGTATTAAACGTGACCCGTTGATTTTTATGGAAATTGGGTTGTTCCATAAAATTCTACACGTATTATAACCTAGGAAACAAATTTAAAATTTCAAAAAAACATAAAAAATAAGGCACACACATGTATGCAAACAATTAAGCAAAAAAGAGAAGAATTAAATAAAAAAAATGGTGTCAAAGGCAGTTTTCAAGATGTAGTCTGCATCTTGATGCAAAATTATTTTTACCATAACTTTATACATGTCTTAAAGTTTAGGAAAAAAATTTATAACATCAAAAAAGAATGAAAATCAAGCTCTAAGAATTTAAGTGAAAAAATGGGTGTAATTGTATTATTCAGAATGAACCATTCATTTTTATGGAAATTGGATGTTACCATTAAATTTTACATGTCTTCAAACCTAGGAAATAATTTTAAAATTTCAAAAAAGCATGAAAAATAAGGTACAAACATGTTTGCAAACAATTAATCAAAAAAATGAGTTGAAAAAAAAATTAATAATCAAAAGTCATTTTTATGAAAAATGGACTTTACCATTGAATTCTGCACATTTTTTAACCTAGGAAACAATTTTAAAAATTAAAAAAAAACTCAAAAAATAAGCCACAAAAAATTAAATAAAAAACCGCGTGCAAACGCGGAATCCGCGTGTGCTGCGCGCAGCAGAAACCCCATGTAAACGCGGATTTACCGCGTTTTTTTATTAACGCCCAAAAAAAATTAATAATTAAAATTCATTTTTATGGAAAATGGACTTTACCATTAAATTCTACACCTTTCATAGTGTAGGAATTGATTTTAAAAATTCAAAAAAACTCGAAAAATAAGTGCACAAAAATTAATTAAAAAACCGCGTGTGCTGCGCGCAGCAAAAACCGTGTGTAAATGCGGAAAAACCATGTTTTTTTATTAACACCCTTTATTAATGAGAGGTGTACGGTGGAGAGCAGCACAGAGTTCACCGGTGTCCATGTAGCAGTAGCAGACTACCGTAGCGACAACCAGAGCAGGCCGGCTAAGCCGGGTGGATAGACTAGGTTTGCATGCCTGCGCTACACCAGTCCCCCGCAGTCTCATACCCCTCTCTGGTCGGAGCTGGGGATGACTGAGGATAGTGAATCCTCCCTAAGCCAAGGATCCACCCCTCAGCTGTCCCCCATCCCGCGTAGTTTCCGCTTACCGCTGATATCTCCGCCTCCGGGAGATCCCTTTTTTCTGCATTCTACTCAAGTTTGAAATACCTTTCTGCTATCTACTCACATTCGACACACCAACCCAACAACCGCCACCTCAAGAGACCCAAAATAAATCAACAAAGTCAATGCCACAGACCTATAATGTCCTCTTCCATGTCAACTGGCACCTATAATTAGACTTTTCAATATGTTTGGAAGATTAAGAGTTCAACCGATGAAATTGAGAAAAGAGCAACAGGGTGTGAATTTTCCCCTCACAACACGGTCTAGCACCACATGAGCCAAAGCACACACAGACCCCCTCGGACCTGCCGCGGCGCAATTTGGGCCTGTTGCAGGCCCGAATCGGAGATGACTGAAACGTGGTTTCAGCCAGACCACCTGTTCACTCCACCCACACCAAAAATTTTCCAACTCCAACATTGGACCACAATCAACGCCTGGTGATCGGGATTCATCAAACGGTGCTCGGAGGGGGACTCACCATTCAACAGAGTGAGTCATGTTTCATTCATTGAAACAAAACCACTGGCTTGACCATTCTTCTTATCCATCACACCATCTGAAACCACCCACTCTCATCAGGATAAATGACAATGACAAGTCATCATCACCTTGGAGCCACCTGGGACCGTGACACTCCCGACGGATGGGATGCACTTCAGGAGAACTTCCGACCAGACCTTGCCCCCCTCCCCCCCCCCCCCCCCCCCCCATGAGATGCAGCCCCACACATACCAAAAACATGCTGGACCTGGCACACGCTTCATCCCACCCAACCTGTCGAACCAATCCCACTATCAACCACACGTTGGCAGTCTTGCACCCGCAGGCGCACATGTCCCATCGGAATACTTGGCCCCCGCGGCTGGCCCTCAGTTCAACATAGCTAACCCACAGCCCAGCCCTGCTGGTGCCCCAAGCGTCCCAGTCAGCACCAATGGAGCCCAAGGAGCCGGCCGACACCCAGATCTTTCTACCCCCCAATTATCAACTCAAGTGGAGGTGATGTCTGGTGGGCATAGGACCAACCCAAGTAAGTGGCTCAACAATCAACTCATTAACGGGCACATTGTCCCAGGGTGCTGACGAAACTGTAGGCCCCACACATGGGCAACTAGGTCTAATTGGCCGCAGTGAAACTGGTGGGATTGGGCCGGTCCGAACCACACCCCAAACCAGCCACCTCAATCATTCTCCCTACAGGTACGAAGCCCGGTCATCCGCTGGTGACTCAGCCAGCAGTTTTAGTCAAAGATCAAGCTTATCGGACTTGTCAAACGACTTGATCCGGCCGGAAACACTCACTTACATCCGTGAGAATTACCAACAACTGCAAGAGAGCCTTGACAATCACAAGGAGTTCACTCGAATTGGTCAACCACTCTTCATGGTAAGCACTCATCCCCCTCCCCTAAACAGTTCGATCACTGACCACTTCCCCTCTGTAGATTCCGGAGCAAGAGCGGTGGGCAGCAGCCATTGCATTGATATTGCATCGTGACCGTGTCAACATATCAATCCCAGCGGCCACCCCAGGAATGGAGACAACCCAAGACACCCCCAACCTCAAGAGCCTAGTGAGCACCAACATCCGAGTCATATTGCTTGATCCCAAACTCGACATCTATGGACAGCGAGTGTCAGCCTCTGGGTAAATAACCTGAGTATTTAATAGTAAAAAGGTTGTTACTATGAGTTGACTGAAGTTTTTGAGCATGGTGAGTGTTAGGTAGTGGGTGATTAATACCAGTCCTGTAATGAGGAGGATTCACTCTATCAGTATGGTCTTTACTGAGAGGCTTGCTATCAACAGCGCATCCGGATCAATACAAGGTATTAATAGGCATCCAGGGTACTAAGACTCACCTGGGATTGATTTGGTTATTCCCAAAAGGGAATGGGCTAACAATACTTATTAAGCTTTAACAAAATTAGTTGAAGATTAACAGTTATTGTTGATGGGAATATTCAGCAAGGCTATGAATACTGTGGATAAGTTGAGTAAGAGTACTGAAGCTTAAGAACAATAAAGGTAGACAAGATTTATGTTGGTTACGTGTAGTATACTGTATCAATATAAATGTTAACTGGTTTAACTGGTGTCTGAATATTCTGGGGATTAATCAGTGAAAGAGGCACGGATTATAAGTTCCAGAATACTGAAGGGGGGAAAGAATGAGCGCTCAGAATCAAGGGAGCTTTGGCCAGGAGAATGAGCACATCAATTGAGTGACTGATCATTATTTGTCATGATCTGTAAGTGACATCATAATTGTGTACTAGTTGATCAATGTACTAGTTGCTCTTGATGTGTACTTAACAGATCCTCTAATAATGTAGTCATAATTGTGATCAGTGCATGTATTGAATGTATTAATTCTATTGACACTTAATACTTACTATTTAATACATGTACATATTTATTTGTAATAATATTTGACCGTGAAAATACTGTAGACCAGGGGATAACTTGTGGTACAGGTATTTCACGGACACAGGAGTGAAAGGTAAGTGATAATTACTTATGTATAAAACAGATATGTATTTAATGGATAAGTAATTAACAGATAAGATAAATAAGGTAAGTTAATAATAATGATAAGATAACAAGAGGTAAAGGTAATCAACATTATGGATAAGTACTTATGTACATAAGTACAGGTGTTGCAGTTACTTGGTACATGAAAAGTACTGTGACATGTACTCTGTGGCTGACAGCGAGGCACCCGCACCAATCTGGCGGCCAAATCACCATACTCAATGATGAAGGTCAGCAGGAACCCCATCGATGGTAATGACAACAACCAGTAGATTACTAACATCTGATTATCGGACTCAGACCATCCTTGACTCGCAAAGCCCTCGCTTTCTCCAACAGCTGCCCGAGGACTACAGCGAGAATTGCACGTGGCTCGCCTCCTTTGATAATATCATACGACAACAGCTCAAGGCTGAAAAATTCAAGCTCTCCACCATAATTCAGTCCAACTTACCACCTCCACCAGCAAAAGTCCCCCCAATTTTGAAACTCGTCTCCTCCGTGTACATTGCCATGCACCCCTGCTACAAAAACACACCAGAAGCGAGGGTCTATGCAGAGGTTCCGCCGCCTGCAAGGGCCCGACTTGCGTATATCAGGTTTATGATCCACCTCAATCATATCCAACGAGAGGGTAAGCAGAAGGGTGAAACCCCCACCATCTGGCATCAAATCAATGATGACCTTAACGCACGAGTAGGCCGAACCCGCATGTACAGATATGCCTTTGGGCAGATAATTCTAGCAAAAGACAAGCGACTGTGGGATGGTGCGACAACGTTGGACAAGGTTGACCCGGACGACTGTGCCCTCCCGACAGAGGATGAAATTGCTGCTGAGATTGCCCGACTCGGTGGAGATCAATCCACTCAAGCGGCACCCACTACTACTGCTACCTGATCGCTATTGATACCGCCATACTGTCCAACCTCTGTTCCTCGTTGATCACTCTTGATTCCTGTTTGATGTTGATCACTCATGATAGTTGAACTCCTACTCATACACCAGCGGTGTCTACTTTCTTTTCAGATTATCCTATCTCTAGTCTCAGTTCCATGGCAAATATACGGAAGACTCATCTGCTTGTCCAGCAGCCGCGTATAATTCTAATCTCCCAATTTTTCAATGTCTTGCTCTTCATCACTTGATGTCCCCGCGATGGAAACATATAAACATTAAAAGCGAAAAAACACATTAGTATTATTACTTATCTTGCAAAATTTACATAGCTGCCAATGAAAAATATTCCCGAAATGCAAAACCAATGAGATGTCGCTACAATAACTGACTGAGCAGCCCCACCCCACAAACCCAATGTTTGAACATAGGTTGCAGAATGGTTTGAACCAACTAAGGTCTAACCAATTTACAACCAATAGAAAAGTTGTCCAACAGGCCGCAAAACCCATTTCCAACTTTATCTTGGTTGTGATTTGGTTGAGTATCCAATGTCGCAACCGCTTTTGAAACCAAAAGGTGGTTTTTTGTCGGTTAAAAAAACCACTACGTGACTGTTGTGATAAATCATGGGTTTAGCGGATATTATGGGTTTTACATGATGAATGCTATGCATTTATGTGTAGGTCAATATGATGTCATGCTATGTTTCCTATGATTTTTGATCAAGAAAGTCTTCATGACATCATTCCTCTTAAATGACATCATTCCGATGACAATCAGTTCCTGTTTTCATTAATACTTTTGTCGATCATGGATTTTCCTTATGATCTTTCATTCCGGTGATCTTTGTTCCCTTTCTTTCTTTTCCTTATCTCGATATTCCTTGTTATTTATATTCTCCTCAGAATTAAAATACTAAGAAATCTTAACTTTAAAGATAAATTCAAAATCTCTGTTTAAACTTATAAAGTTTCTATAACACAAAATACTTAGTTTATTGTGTCATCTTTGGCGAGTTATCCTCTTGGATAACTTCATAGCCGTATGAGTTTGTGACGTAGTAGGCTCCCCCTCACAGTTATATCGAGATCTTTACATTTTAGTTAGTTATAAAAAATTTTCGGTCATCATCTCAATCAATTTCAACGACTTCAATTCTATCGCCCCTCACTTCAGCGACTTCGAATTCTATCGCCTCTCTCATCTATAAAATTTTTCGGTCATCGTCAATCTTTTTTCAAACTATTCGACTTCAGCGACTTTGATTCTATCGCCTTTCTCATCATCAATCTCTTCAACCTTTCGATTTCAACAAATTTTTTTTTCGATCCCACTTCCCCTCTCACACCATGTCTTCTTCATCATCTCGGGAATATTCTGCCAGAATGACTTTGCCCGGCACTCCTTCTCAAAACCCGCCGACTCTTTCGCCTCATCCTGCGGTAACAGCCCCTAACTCTCCTATTCTTCCACCTGTGTCGCCAATTCTTCCGCCGGGTTCTCCAATGCCTGAAATCAATCCTCAACCTGATCCCTCCGTTCAAGATGGAGACGACGGTTCTATGGCTTGTCAACATCTTTTTCCTGAGGATCCTGGGTTTGTAAACCTTATCGCTGATTTGGGTATTCATAACCCTACGTTAGAACAAACTGTTTATTCCTTGATTCAACGATTGACTAATCTTGAATCTCAATCTCGGCGAGACAAGGAGACTTTACGATCAGTCAAGGACCTGGTTAAGGATCTTTTACCGATGAGTTCCGACATCATGAAGATCAAGTTATCGGCTCAGCAAGAATCGAATCAGGCACACCAAGAGTTTCTGCAAATCCGAAATGCTGTCGATTTGATCAACTCGTCAACAAATGCCCGTTTGGTTGGTCTGGAATCATTTGCGTCGAGACCTCCGGTTTTAGCTAAGACGTTTCATGAACCTCCTTACCAAATTCACATTTATTTTTTGGGTGGTTTGAATGAAACTAAACCCTTTTGTTTCTCGGTTCGGGGTACTTTGGAACGCAACAAGGACAACTTTGCAAACGAGAAGCATAAGGTCATGTGGATTGCTGGTTATTTTCGTAAGGCGGATGGCCGGTTGGGGGATACTTGTCCGTCGTTCGTTTGGTGGCAAGGACTTATGAAGAAGAATGCTGTCGAGCAAGGTCTCAATCCGAAGACGGCTTCGTCCAAACCGGATTTCGTGTTACAGGAGCTCAGTACGGCCAAGGATTTTATTCTAGCCATCGAGTCGGTCTTTTCTAATCATAAAGAAGAGGAAGACATTTGCAAGTTGCTCAAGGCGGCTCGTCAAGGTAACACTTCAATCGAAAAATTCAACCTCTATTTCAACTCTTTGTTATACTCGGTTGATTTATCCGAGTCGTCAAAGTGTGAATTTTATGACGATGCTATCAATCTGAAGATTGTTCAGTTGGGAATGTTGCGCGGCGGTTGGACGACACTCACTGATCTTGACTCAAAACAGGAGATGGCGGTGAAGTTGGCTACCGATGTGGCGGGATTGGGTTTCATCGATAAGATCAATCAGAACAAAAATCAATCTGGATCCAGTTCGCAAATTCCAGTTCAACGAGTCGAGCAGAAGATTGTGGTTCCTCCATTGAAACTTTCAGAAGCTGTCCCGATGGACATCGATGTGTTGGCGGCTCAGATCGGTTTCACCTATGAAGATTGGAAGAAAGAGTGTATTCTTCAACATTTGTGTCATCGATGCGGTGGAACTTGGGATTCAGCTCACAACGTCGTTCATCATTGCCCTCTTGCTAAGAAACATCATCTTTTGAAGCCGCAATGCTTGGCCATTTGGAAGGATTGGGGGGGGGGGCATATCTGGAATGAAAGAGGACATCGTTCTGGCGAGTTGGAGCAACCGGACGAATCTAGATGGGCTCCGGTTAATCTTCCTTCAGGTTCTTTGCGAGGGACCTTGGGTCATCAAGCAGATCGACCACCAGCATTGCCTGCGCCGGCTGATCGTTCTGATAAGGGCAAGAAGAGAGAATCAGTTTCGGAGATCAATCAAGAACTGATATCGAAGAAGAGGGCGGGAAAGATGAAAGCCCCGGATGGCGAGGGCGACAGTTGTTCAGTTAATGTGGATGCGGTAGAGTCAGGGCCAATGTCTGTTGGAGACATGTGCTTCGCTCGGCAATTAGCGGAGATGGAGTATAATGAATGTGAGCATCCTGCTTATGTGCAGATGAATGTTTCTTCTGACTTACGACCTTTTGTCATGGGAAAACTTAGATTAAGTACTGATCGTTCTATCATGTGTTCGATATTGATTGACTCTGGTGCTTCCTCTTCATTTATCAATGCTAAATTTGTTTTGCAGAATGGTTTAGAGGTTTTTGATTTAAAAAATAGTGTACAGGCCCAATCTTTCGATGGTTCCTTTGCTAGCTCCGGTGATATTAAATCATTTGTAAAAGGGGATTTGTTAATTCCCACCAGTTCTGCTTTGGATATTTCAACCTTTGTTAAGTTGAACGTGACAACTATTTCTTCTTCTGATGTTATCTTAGGAAATTCCTGGTTAAGGGAGTCGAACAGTTTTGTTGGGGGTTGTAACACTGATGTGTTGATTCATAATGGAGCTGTTTTAGTTTCTGCCTTGGAGGAAGATGATGGTTCTTTTTTGTTGAAGGAATTTTCAGACGTTTTTGTAACAGATGCATTGGCTACTTTGCCTCCTCATTGGAAGGGATTTGATTGTGAGGTAAACTTGAAGAAAGACAGTGTTCCACCTTTTGGACGGATGTATAATCTTAGTAAGTCTGAGCGAGATGAGTTAAAGCTTTATGTGGATGACAACTTGAAGAAGGGTTTTATTAGAGTTTCCTCATCGTCGGCGGCCGCTCCTATCTTTTATGTCAAAGTGGAGGGTAAGGCGGATAGACCTTGTGTAGACTATAGAATTTTGAATGGAATGACTATTCGAGATTCATATCCTTTACCAGTTATTGCTCACCTTTTGAATAACTTGCATGGTTGTAAATTTCTTTCTAAGATAGATTTGAAAGCAGCTTTCAACTTGTTACGAGTGGCCGAAGGGCATGAGTGGAAGACAGCGTTCAGGACACCATGGGGCTTATATGAGTATCAGGTAATGCCTTTTGGTTTGGCTAATGCTCCAGCAACCTTTCAGCGGTTTATTCAATATGTTTTGCGAGAATATCTTGATGTTTGTTGTTTTGTTTATATTGATGATATTTTAATTTATTCTAAGACAAGACATCAACACCTTCAAGATTTGAAAAAGATTTTACAGAAACTCCGGGAATGTTCATTAAAGGCGTCTAGAAATAAGTGCGAATTCTTTTGTTCACAAGTTACTTTTTTGGGGTTTGATATTACTGATCTGGGTTTGAAGATGAATCAGAAAAAGTTAGATACGATTTCCAATTGGCCATTTCCTTCTTCTTTAAAAGCAGTTCAGCGGTTTTTGGGTTTCACTAACTTTTATTGGCGGTTCATTCCGAATTTTTCCACCGTGGCTGGTCCGTTGACATCGTTGACTAAGAATGAGTTCAAAGCTACGTCGGATCTTGGTTGTAAGGAAGCGAGGGATGCTTTTCAGGCTTTGAAATTACTCTTTGTTGATGAACCATTGTTGATGCATTTTGATTTTGAAAAGGATCATATTCTTCATGTAGATAGTTCGGGATATGCAATCACAGCAATTTTGAGTCAACCAAATTCGGATGGCGTGGCTTTGCCAGTCAGTTATTTTTCACGAAAGTTGTCTGATCGGGAGCGGTCGTGGCAGATATTTGATTTGGAGTTGTTGGCGATTGTCTCCACTTTTGAGGAGTGGAGGGCTTGGTTGATGGGTACAGATAATCCAGTTTCAGTTTTTTCAGATCACTTGAATATGTTATATTTTAAGACGGCTAAGTATCTTTCTCCCAAACAAGCACGATGGGCAAATTACCTTGATAACTTCAACATGAAGATCATTCATATTGCGGGGAAAAAG